TTTAAACAAAGTTTGACACACCTGACTGGCTATTTCAGTTTTTATAGGCTGTTTTTTGGGAATTCTATGAACTCTATCATATTTATTGCCTTAAATTGCATTATTAAATATATTGAAAAACCTGTTTGTTCAATAGGTCCATCGGGATTTCCGCCTTTGGCTCACTAGTCTGCCCAGCAACAAGTTCCCAGTGTCCATTCTGCAGAATGGCTCCAAGATGACCATCGAACCACCACGGGGCATTAAAGCCAATCTTCTGAAGACCTACGCCAGCCTCACTGATGATTTCATCACTTCATGCACTAAGGTTGGTGTCGAAAAGATGTTTTCAGAAACACCCAACTTGACAAAAACACAGCATATTTAATTGTGATTATAGTAAATGTATTATAGCTAATGTACAGTTCTTTTGAAAGAAGTCTCTTATGCTCACAAAGAACATTCATAAGAACAGCATTCATTTCAAATAGAAATCTTTTGTAACATTACACAAATATTTTACAGACACTTTTGACCAATGCATGCATGCTGAATAAAAAAAACTTTTCTTTAAAAAAAAAAATAACACTGACCCAAAACTTGTGTACAGTAGTTTACTAAATATATAATATAAAATATTTAGTATTATTAAATACATTTCTTGCTTACTCTGTCTCTGTCTGTCTTTCTGTATTTTGGCAGAAAGCCGAGATAAAGGCTCTCCTCCTGTCTCTGTGCCTTTTTCATGGAAATGCCATTGAGCGCAGGAAATTCGGCCCACTAGGATTTAACATACCATACGAGTTTACAGATGGGGACCTGAACATCTGCATTAGCCAGCTGAAAATGTTCCTGGATGAGTATCAGGACATCCCATACAAGGCAAAACCAGACGTTCTCTTGCAACCCACCCACACACACACACACACACACATATTTATGCCTCTCTGCAGAGTATGTTCCTTCCTTTGAGTGCTTCTATAGCTGATTAGGCATATATTATGTAACTAAAACATGCCATTTTAAGCAGTAACAGAGCATCTAAAAATCTGTATTAGGTAGTGGTTATATTTTTTATTATTTATAAAGGAAGACACTCTCACAAATCTTTCTGATCTGGTTTTCATTTTTCTCCCTCTCTGTTTAGGTTCTAAAGTATACCGCGGGGGAAATAAACTATGGGGGTCGTGTGACGGACAACTGGGATCGCCGTTGCATCCTAAACATCCTGGAGGATTTCTACTGCCCTGCTGTCCTGGACCCTGAACACATTTACTCTCCTTCTGGAGAATACAGACAAATCAGCACTGAGAATAATATCAAGGTCCAGAACTCATGTCTCTAATGTAATCCCAACCTCAAGAATTAGGAAAAAATAAAGCTGATCTCAGATCAGTGTAAAAGTAACTCCCTCCACAGGCTCACAATTCAGCACAGTCTTGTGTTCTGTTGTGCTTAAGGTTATGCAGTACATCTCATTTTTTTTGTGCAGGGTTATTTGACATACTTTCGTGGTCTACCAATAAATGACTCACCAGAGATCTTTGGCCTCCATGACAACGCCAACATCAGCTTTGCACAAAATGAGACATTTGCACTGCTGGGAACTTTAGTGAAGCTCCAGCCCAGAGTGGCAGCTAGCGGAGGCAAGTCTAGAGATGAGGTATGTGTCTTAAAGCAAAATATGTACACTACCAATCAAATGTTTGAGGTCAGGACAATTGTTTTGAAAAAAGTGATGTTCTTACTAAGCATTTTAAAAAACAAAGCTTTTTCTTTTTGGTAGTATCCATGTTTTTTTAAATGCAAAGCAGTGTGGCGATTAACATATCTACTGCAGTGTTAACTCTGCAATTATGGATTTTTTTTACAACCTGTTATGTAAAATGATAATGTAAAATGCGTATGCTTTTTAGATGTAATGCACGCTCTTTTCTCATCTACACATTAAGATCATAGAGGAAATAGTGGAGGGGATTGTGGAGAAGATTCCTAATCTCATTAACGTGCAGGAGGTCATGAAGAAATACCCAGTGATGTATGAAGAATCTATGAACACTGTCCTAGTTCAGGAGGTTATAAGGTATGTTTTTAAAATGTGCATAATTAATGTATAAGACCATTAAAGCAGTAGTTCACTCACCCCCATGTCATCCAAGATGTCCACGTCTTTCTTTCTTCAGTCGAAAAGAAATTAAGGTTTTTGATGAAAACATTCCAGAATTTTCTCCATATAATGGACTTCATTGGGAACCAAACGGTTCAAGGTCCAAATGAGAGTTTCAGTGCAGCTTCAAAAGGCTTTAAACGACACCAGACGATGAATAAGGGTCTTATCTAGCGATTGATCGGGCTGCAACTGTTTTCAACATTGATAATAATAAGAAATGTTTTTTTTATCACCAAATTGGCATATTAGTATGATTTCTGAAGGATCATGTGAGACTGAACTTGAGAAAATTCAGCTTTGCACCACAGGAATAAATAACATTTTAAAATATATTCAAATAGAATTTAAATTGTAATTATATTACTTTTTTTTCCTGTATCCTTAATCAAATATATGCAATTTTGGTGAGCATAAGAGACTTTTTTTCCAAAACATTTTTAATCGTTTGTGTGTATTTAGAAAACAAGTCACTAAGCACGCTAAAAATGCACCTCTCTATCACTTTCACAGATATAATAAGTTGTTATCAGTGATTTCCCAGAGTCTCAGTGATCAGGTGAAGGCTTTGAAGGGTTTGGTGGTTATGTCTTCTGAACTGGAGCTGATGTCTAACAGTCTGTTCATCAACGCTGTTCCAGAAATATGGAAGGCCAAGGCAAGAATCTCCTGAATGTTAACCATGCAAGACATACACAGAAATTGTGGAATGACTATTGTGCATGTTAGCTTTATGAATATTTAGGATTAGGGTTTAGACTTATTTGAAACATTTAAAATGGGACACAGCTACCATAAAATGTTTCTTGTTATATTTTTTTCTAGGCATATCCATCTCTTAAGCCTTTGGCTTCCTGGGTGTCAGATCTGGTCCAGCGTATCAGCTTTTTGCAGAAGTGGATCTCAGATGGCATTCCTGCTGTATTCTGGATCAGTGGGTTCTTCTTCCCCCAGGCCTTCCTCACAGGAACCCTGCAGAACTTTGCCCGTGGCTCTCTGGTCTCCATTGACACCATTGCATTTGACTTTAAGGTGCATAATCTGCTTTCAACAGCATGGCTTTCTTGCATTAAACTCGGTGTAATTCAATTTGAAGCCTCAACTATGTTTCCATATTAAGCTCTCAAAGCAAGCTTGATATTTGATAGACCATTAAGAGAAGTACAATACACCTGAGAAGGACAAACAGAACGTTCTCTTGCATATCTGAACAGCATGGTGATTATATTTCATAAGAACCATGAGTCTTAATCATTCTTTTTGATTTATTACCTTTCGTCGAACCCTCTTTTAGGTCATGAAGGAAGCAGTAGCAGAGCTGACTGAGAGGCCCGACATTGGCTGCTTCATCCACGGTCTGTTTCTGGAAGGGGCACGCTGGGATGGAGAGACAAGCCAGCTTTCTGAATCCCGTCCCAAAGAGCTCTACACAGAGATGGCTGTTATCTGGATGGTGCCCGTTCCCAACCGCAAACCCTCTCTTTCTGGAATCTACGTGTGTCCTATCTACAAAACTCTTACTCGTGCTGGTAGGCAATTTGAATTGCATTTTTTAAAGAAACTTGCCACAGTCTTTTGTTAATGTTTTATTACTGTACATCATGTGGAGTCATTGTGATTTATATGAGAATTTGGGCTGCATTTTTCCACAGAGATCTGAAAAGTGTTGTTTTTCCTCCACAGGAACTCTCTCTACCACAGGGCACTCAACCAACTATGTGATATCAGTTGAGCTGCCCACAGATCGTACACAGGGGCACTGGATCAAACAGGGTGTGGCGTTGATATGTGCGCTTGACTACTAGACTCTCACTCACACACATTTTCATTTATACACGCACAACCGCTTGAACAAACATGGGACAAATGCAGAATGGCAAAAATAAAAGGCACAATCATTTTTTTGCACTGCAATATTTTCTATTCAAGAAATCTCTGGAAATTAACATTTTAAATCAGTTAGACATGTACAGTATATTGTATATTAGTTAGTTATTAGTTAGTATATTTATATACTATCATAGTATTTATTAATATTTTGAATTAGCTTTTATTTTTAAATTTTAGTTTGTTTCAGTAATTCTATGATGTGCTTTTTTAAAATTTCATTAGTTTTTCTTTTTATTTTAGTGTCAGTTTTAGTCAATTTTCTTTATAATTTTTTTCTTGATTTTTTCTCTAATATTTATAATTTCAGCTTTATTTGAATAAATGAAAAATAGTTTCGATCATTTTAGCTAACCATAACAACACTAAACATTAGACAGCGTCATAAATTAACACTGTTACGGTGTATATTTTGAATGAGGTGTTTGCATGAACTAATGGGCTATATGCACGCATAAGTTCCGCATTTGACGTAAGGATGCTCGTCAGTTTCCGGTTGGGGAGATTAAAGCGGTGGAAAAACGAGGAAAACGGGATTATGGCCGAGTCTTTAAAATTTACTGTCCTCCCATCCCGTCTTTGAAACGAAACTTTCATACGTTTAGATGTTATGTTTATTTAACGGAATTTTAAAAAGAAGCATAAACACAATGAGGTGTGTCTGTTTTTTCTGTTTTTGTGACTAACGTTTCTTTACTATAACCATGGAGTATAAAATTCAATATAAATTCTCGGTATTGCATTGGACTCTACGATCGGCGGAAGTTATCGAGCATGATCCTTACACCTTCCTCCATGCATAGAGCCCATTGTGATTATTGCAGGATTATTCTAGGTGTCTCAATTTGATTTCTATGAATGGGAACATTTTCTCTGGTCGTCTCAATCAAAAATAAATGTGCGCGGCTCCTTTAAGAGACCAGTGGTTCAGGAGCTCGCGCTTCCGCTACAGACACTGACCCCATGCGATTGCGAACACAGACACACACAGAGAGACACACACAGCGGGTTTTACAGTCAGTGACGGGAACTCTGCAGGACAAAAGACTTTCTTTTTAATTTACCCTATACAATTGTTTTGACTGGGACCTTTTCTACTGAACGTGAATATAACTTTTATAATTAGATAACTCTGTTTTTTTTAGTTATTTATTCTAATTTCTGGACAAAAAATATTTATAAGGAAATTTAAACTATTTGTCAAACTTTATTTTTGCTAATCTTCCACTTGAAATGTTGAAACCGGCATTTTATTTAGGTAAATGTAACGTATCTGAATACCAGCGACCTAATTCTGGTAAATGTGCAGTAATTCTGTAACCATAAGTCATCACAGGAATTCATCAGCAGTGTATTTTCGGAACAGCGTCACTCGCTGACAGCGGGACCCGCGCGGAGAGTTTATCTGTGGATTTTAAAAGACCCTCTTCAGCCACGTCGAAACTCTAATAGGCACTTTAATTTCATCTGCACTGAAAGATGCTCCAGAATGGAAAGTCCGACGCGTCCGAGCCCGAGCCGAAGCCCGAAGTGCAAAGCGAGAAGACCGAAGCGAGCGAGAGCGAGATCGCCGCGTCTCACCCAGAGAGCCAGTCCGCAGACACCGACTCTACTCAGTTCCCCCTGCCCGTCTATCCCAAACTGGAAATCAAGCGCCATGCCGTGACCGATGACTACAAAGTCTCCAGTCAAGTGTTGGGTCTGGGTGTCAACGGCAAAGTAGTGGAGTGCTACAATAAGAAAACCGGACAAAAGTGCGCGCTGAAGGTAACTTAAATTACACAGTAATACACACATTTTGTAATGGGGATCCAGATGTCTGGATTTATGAGGGAGTTGATTCAACTCGTATAATATGTTTTCGGCCAGCTAGCATAATAAACCCTGTTTGCGATGATGGTTAACACGGACATTAGGCTATTCTTTTCTATAGTCTATTACGATTATGGGTTAAACTATTATAATAAAGTGGTTTGATGTCGAAATATTGGTTTCGTTTTATTTTAATAGTCCCTTAAACACATTCTGTTAACTATAACGTTGCACCTACTGTGTCTATTCACTCCCTGTCAATGTCAGGTTTATTTCTATAGCACAGTTTAAAACAACTTAAGAGCAGTTGACCAAAGTGCTTTGACACTACTATAAATTATAACACCATTGACACAAAGAACAAACGAAAACAAGTAGACTGGTAGGGTTAGAATAGGTCGACGTAGTTGCAAATTTACTTATAGGGCCTAGTCAGAAGAATTTACTATAAAGAGTTAGCAGATATTAAGCAAACAGACAGACTACTAATACGCCGATGAGAGTTTGTTGACAAAGTTACTTGTAGTCTACCGAATGTTCAAAAGGGACCATCAAAATAAAGTGTTACCCAAATATTCAATGTAAAGTATTTACATTCATTATTTAGCCTATACCTGCTGTGGTTTGAAAAAAAAAAAACACAGTTTCAAATACAAGTTTAAAACTTTGTGGGTGGCTGTAGTTGTTTTAATAGCCAAGAGAGTCCTATAATGTCACAGAAAGCAATGAATGTACTTGTATTAAGTGTCTCTTTATGCGAGTGCATAGGTCACCATACCTCATGTAAAGGGTCACTGAGTTGGGGTTACCAACAGTGCTCCGGTTCTTAGAAACTGGAGGGCCACCAGTTATAGGGTTACTGGATCTGACTTGGCTCTTTAAGGAAATGAGGTGTGACACACAGCATCCAGACTGTGCAATGGAAACATGTCACCCACGTGGCATCACGCACATGGATTTACTGTCCAGTGCAATCCAGCTGGATCGAGGAGCTCATGTGCATAGAGTACATAGAAGAAAATAGAGAGGTAGTGTAATTTATATTGATTAAATTATGTTCTAGTTTAAAAAATGTAATATATATTAATTTTAAACCTGAATATATTTAACTCATATTTATTATATTATTTTAATTATTACTAATTAAAGACATATAGATAATATTTTGGGGAAATTTATGTGAGGAACTTAAAGAAATGTGAAGTTTACCAAAACTTTAGGGAATGATATGTCTTGCAGTTAGTTGAAGTAATGCATAAATTTCCCTGTCCCCTTGTTGGTTTTTCTTGCCATCTGGTTTGGCGAGTCTGATTTCTTGTAGTGCTTTCCATCTTCATGGAAGATATCTAACTTGGTTTAAACAGAAACTGGCCGGAAATGGATGTTCAGAGTCTCTCGTAATGATTTGTCAGGATTTGAATATGACACAGAGACTCACTGGTTCTCATGTACATACCATCCCAAATATCTCTTGGGAGTGATAGAACCATTGCTCATTATTATGCTAATGACACTGGCAAATGCAAATAAGCTGTTTTTGATGCTTAATGTCCTGAGGGTTGTGTTGTAAGATGTTTGCTGTCCTAAATGAATCTCATTGTACTGAGACACAATGAAAATCAAATTGACCTGATCTCTTGAGTCATTCAGGTGTAATTTATTGCCCAATATCCTCCTTGCTTTTTAATCACAGGGTAAACAGACATAGGGCAGAGCTGTCCATCTCAGCTGGCTTTTAATTAATAGCATGTTTACTGCTAAGTGTAATGAATGTGAGTGTATAGGTGCTGTTTAATCCACTCTGTTTAGCTGGACGGAAGCCATCCTTTAAATCTAATTCATTTAATTTACTCTTGATTTCCCATATTGGACTTGAACGCCTGCCAACAACGAAAATATATCTTACAGCCTGATCAGACTGTTTATTACACTGCCATCTCTATATTGCAACCTGCAAACCTGGTTGTGGATCTCGGCCCCTGAGGTTTTGGTGTGCTCATTTAAAAACATTAAGGAAGCATTGCTTAAAAGGTCAACTTCTACGTATTGCTCGTATATACTGTATTTGCCACACATGGTGGCCAATGCGCCGGTTAACTCGTCCTACTAACCAAGATAAATCATTTTTTATTATTATTACTCTATAAATTGCATATATATTCTACATCTGTATATTCTCTCTCTCTCTCTCTCTCTCTCTCTCTCTCTCTCTCTCTATATATATATATATATATATATATAATTCGTATAGCATAACTTGTTTTACTTCTGACTTATATATATATATATATATATATATATATATTACAGTACAGAATTCTGTTATTATACATATATAAGATAATTTAGTAAAAAAAATTATAATAAAGGGATAGTTGAAATTATTTTTTGATATGTTTTAGCTTACCTCAAGGGCATCCAAGATGTAGGTGTCTTTGTTTCCACAGTATTTTCAATTTTGATATTTTTAGGTCAAACCGTTCGTGTCTGTCAGTCATTCAATGGAGGTCTATGGTCACCACCTCAAAGAACATGCACAGAGAAGTCCAGATTAAACACGATTTAATGACTTGTAAATGTAAGTACACATTGATGGCCTAAGACATCATTTTTACCTCTTGACCACATTGACCACTCCGGGGCTTTCCAACGCTTGCGCAGACCGAAGCGCCCTCGCCCTCAGATCACTTGGACATGGCTGCGGTTACAAGAGGTAAAAACGATATAAATACTGTCCGTTTCCTCACACAAACTGCTCGTTTTGTGTCTTATGCCATCATTGTGTACTTACGAGTCATTAAATCATGTTTAATATATAATATCTGAACATTCACACACAGTCAGACCTCGTTTCATTGTTAAGCAATATTTCTTACATAATCTAATAAAGGACTGTTGTGGTAAAATCGCAAGGAAAGATGTGTGAGCCCTTTCACCGTTCCCATTGTGCAGCCAGCTCCTGTACGCTCGACTGGTTCATATTACAACCGTGGCACTGCCAACTCACTGTTCAGTGTTTGAGTTCATCTTTCCACACAGATTCTACATTCAGGGTCCAGCCATTGTTCAGGATGCTGCCTTTATTCAATCCTGGCATATTTCATAGTGCGCCACAAGGTATATATGGAAGGCACTTTGTGTTTTATATGCAAGGTTGTGGAAATTTGTTTCCAACTAAGGTAGAAACAGTGTGACCGAGCTGTATGATGAATTGGCAAGAGCTGCCAATGTGTTTGTACACTGTAAAAAAATATTGATGGTTTAACTTAAAAAAGTAAGTAACCTGGTTGCCTTAACATTTTAAGTTGATTGAACTGGAAAAAGTGAGTTAATACAATGAAGGAGATTAATTTAACCATCAGAAACTCAAAATTATATGTCATCTGAACTAAATAAATTATTTAAGTTGATTTGACAAAAGAAAAAATGTTGTGATTACTACACTGTAAAAAAAACAATGTTGGTTTAACTTAAAAAAAGTAAGTAACCTGGGTTGCCTTAAAATTTTAAGTTGATTGAACTGGAAAAAGTGAGTTAATACAATGAAGGAGATTAATTTAACCATCAGAAACTCAAAATAATAAGTTATCTCAACTAAATAAATTATTATAAAGTTGATTTGACAAAAGAAAATATATTATGATAACAAATCTTGAAAATATTTTTTTACAGTGTAGAAGTTCATTATTTAGGAGGGTCAGTAGTGCCGGTCCTAGAGTTCTGGGGGCCCTAAGCAAAACTTTATCTAGGGGCCCCTGTCAGTGCGCTCATAAAATCTCCTTAATCCATTCTTTCAGAGCAGTTTCAACGTCAACCAACGAGTTGAAACGGTCAGTAATACAAGAAAAAATATAAAAGCAGTCGGACAAATACAACAGAATTAATTTTTTATTTTTTTTCACAATTTAGCAAAAATGAATAAAGTCATCAAATTTAAAATAAATAAATAGGTTCAATAAAACATTGCAGTCTTCACTGTATGAATTAAATACACATTGCTTCTTATTAAAGTAACTAATGTTATTCAGTGAAGAGCATCTCATTTTCTTTTGCTATTTGATTAACATTAAATGACAGCGGGTTTATTAGGCTGCTGTCACTTTAAGGCAGAATGTGCAGCAGATCTAATACGGTGACAAGCATTCGATTACTTTCCCAGCTGTTTATATTCACTGAAAACATAAGTGAATGCGTTTGTATTTGTCCCTTTAAGCATGGATTGAACGGCGTCTCTTTCGCAGCTCAATGCATGCTCTTTTACACGTGATGTAACTTGATTCGACTTATTTGGATGTCATGTGTGGTGACGGCACACCGCTTTAAAGGAAAGGAACAGGAAGCGACATCACGTTTTCATATTCATTAGAAACCAAGCATAAGAGTATAGATAAGCAAAACTAAACTTGAACTCTGTCCCATTCAGTAACTTTTACTACAGACCCAATAAACAGTATAAGATAAGAATACACTGCTGTGTAATGCTGTGGTGTCTTTCACGTGGGTCTTATTTTAGGCAGATCAATGTGTCATGTTTCACGTGCTATCATAAAACTTGATTTGGACAAACATGGAAAGTAATATAAACACTCAAGCGTGTCTCTGTTTGACCAAGAACCGAGTGTAACATGGTTACGATTACGCCGACCTCAAATAAATCAAGATGTTTCAAATGATAAAACAGAGCCGAATGCCAAAACACTTGTAAATGTTTCTGAGGTGAAACTGTCTGAAATGTGGTTTCCAGAAGATGTAATTCCCCAATCTGTTTTCAGTTGTGTACGGTTTTGTTTTAAGGAACCTGTGGTCACAGAAACCTTCTGGTTATATTCACTATTATAAATATTTTACACTAACTGTAAAAAATGAAATGAGCTTCGTGAGGTAACATGAAAATATTTACTGAAAATACTCTTTTAATATAACTGCATCAATCTAGACTACACCAGCTAAAGTCAATTTGAAGTATAAAAACAACTAAATATAAACAGAATGTGTCATTAGATGTTATCTGCAAACAACATCTATCCCATTCAATTAAATGACTCACTTAAACGAATGTTCTTTACTAAACAGAATACAGGAGGAAGTGTATATCTACAGTATATATATATAGACTCGTCTCGCAGTTCATTTTACTGCGGAGACTGTTAAATCCTGAGGCTGTAGATTCAGGAAATTAAATGCAGTCATAAAGTTTAAACGGTCAATATATCCATCATGCATTCTGCTATCAATCTCTGCAGACATGCGGATGAACTGCCTATTGCATATACTGTAAATTTTCGCAGTAAATACAATTCTGCATTATTATCCGTTTGGTGCTGTTTGTGTGTCGGTGAAAAATGAAAGTACATCCCTTAAAATAAAAAAAATAAAAAATATTTCAATAAAATGATTGTACTTTTTTAGTTTGATAATATTTTTTATTTCATATTTTGTATTTTTAGGGGATTTAATGGTACTAAATTATATTTATGCAGTGGTAATAATCCATTCACTTTTTGAGCATGAACCTGAAAAGGAAATTTCCACCTTAAATGTTTATGTTTTTTAATGCTTCAGTCTGAAGTTTTTTTTTAAGTTTTTTTTTATCATCGCCAGAGAGTTTACATATTACTGGCATTAAAGGGGACCTATTATATAAAATTCACTTTTATAAGGTGTTTGAACACAGATGTGTGTGTAAACAACCAGCCTATAATGGTAAAAATCCACCAATACTTTTTTTATAACCCCCTAAAATAAAATCTCTCCAAACGCGCCGTTCCAGATTTCCCCCTATTCTTAGGTAAGGCATTGCTATGCAGGTCCTATAGGGTGTATTGGGCTGTTACCAGGGCGTTGCTATGCAGGTCCTAGGGTGTATTGGGCTGTTACCAGGGTGTTGCTATGCAGGTCCTAGGGTGTATTGGGCTGTTACCAGGGTGTTGCTATGCAGGTCCTAGGGTGTATTGGGCTGTTACCAGGGCGTTGCTATGCAGGTCCTATAGGGTGTATTGGGCTGTTACCAGGGTGTTGCTATGCAGGTCCTAGGGTGTATTGGGCTGTTACCAGGGTGTTGCTACACAGGTCCTATAGGGTGTATTGGGCTATTACCAGGGCGTTGCTATGCAGGTCCTATAGGGTGTATTGGGCTATTACCAGGGTGTTGCTATGCAGGTTCTATAGGGTGTATTGGGCTGTTACCAGGGTGTTGCTATGCAGGTCCTATAGGGTGTATTGGGCTGTTACCAGGGCATTGCTATGCTGGTCCTAGGGCGTATTTGGCTGTTACCAGGGTGTTGCTATGCAGGTTCTATTGACTATGTGCACGAGAAAAATGCTAACTTCCGCCTTGAGGGCGGATGTTGGGTACTTCGGTTCCGGTTGCCGTTGTTTACATCCTACATCAGTGGACCGGCTATCTAAAGCTTAGCTATCTAAATATATTTGTCTTAAACTATGTTCGTTTGTTCATTGTCAAGTCAACCAACACAGTGTTCACTCATATTTGGGTGGAGCCAGGCGCTGCTGCATTGTGAAAAGTAAACGATATTTCACATTTTGTCACCGCACCCAAGCAGTCGCTTCACAGAGTGGAGCGTTGCGTATCCATGACAACTAGAAGGAAGTTTTTAGGCTACTAATTATTTATTATATTATACCCTTTAACCAGGAGAAGCCCCTGGGTTTAGAACCTATTTTGAAAGGGAGACCTGTTTAGAAATATGTGTGAACAGCCTAATATGTGTTAAACAGCCTAACTTGATAACGAACGAACCAACGTCGGATACCTTTACTCCCTGTATGACATGTATAGTGGTTGTCAACACTGATCTATATGACGATAGTGGTTGTCAACAACATAGCCTCTGAACATCATAAACAAAACAATGGCCAACACAAACTGTTCTGGAAAATGCACTTTCTAACGCATGATTTCGCATTTTATAATGTATAGAGAGAACAGTTACCAAATCGCATAGCTTGAGCACGTAGCATGGCAACATTAATGTCCGAGTGATTCCACGTGTACCGCGTATGTACACGGCGTCAAATGTCCGAGCGAAACAAAACAAAATGTAGATCTACATCTGGGGAGCGATATTTATTTTTTCCTAGGATGGTAGGAGTGACGGGTAGGTTGGGGTTGAGGTAGGTCATATGCTATATATATATATACACTGTATATATATATATATATATATATATATATATATATATACACTGTGTATATATATATATATATATATACACACAATAATAACGTTAAGTCAACGGTATTCATAAACACGCTGAAAAGAGATTATGCGTGTTGATAGCATGCCAAAAATACGTGATACCTGTCATACATACGCAATTTCATGAGATCAGTCTGAGCATGGATGTTGTTGTGACTTAACGTTCCCTTCAAAATGATGCAAATACTGAGAAATGTATTATTTAAACCCCTTCTCTCTTGCTCTGGGGAGCTGGAGGAAAATCATTAGCCAGTCGATGAACATAATCGACTGTAATATTCGGCAAATGTTCAAGACATCTGGAGAAACATACATCCTCTACGTCGTCCATCAGGCTACCGGAAACTAGACACCCCATATCGGTTTCGCAGCCGGAACTAGCATATGCTAACGTGCACATAGTCCATTGGGTGTATTGGGCTGTTACCAGGGTGTTGCTATGTAGGTTCTATAGGGTGTATTGGGCTGTTACCAGGGCATTGCTATGCAGGTTCTATTGGGTGTATTGGGCTGTTACCAGGGCATTGCTATGCAGGTCCTATAGGGTGTTAGGTGATACTAAGGCATTGCTATACGTGTAGTGTGTTCTGGGCTGTTGAATTATAGGTGTGAGGAATAATAAAAACACCACTAAGTGTTCATTGTCTAGCGCTAACAAATGCATACACTTACAGTGCTCTCATCAGATGCCTTCTTCCTTTAGAAATAAATACTTTTACAAAAAAAAAAGCTTATGCAGCAAAACCAGTGCAAATGTGATTTAATGTGTGTGTGTGTGTTATCTGATACTCTCATGGTTTTCTTCCAGCCACAGCTTCTGTTCTGTGTTATTGTTGTAAAAGGAGTTTCCTGACTTCTCTTTCCCTCTGATTCTACAGCTACAGGTTTTTTTTCTTGTTTTTTTTTTTTTTTGTAGGTGGTTTCTGTGTCTCTGTGAATCTAAACTATAAAGGTTACCCCAGTCAGTCATTTACAACGCTGCCTTTGAAACTCCTACCCACGGGCATCTCTGTTAAATGACTCGGCTGCTGTTAGTCTGAGAGCAAACACAGCGCACCTCTTTTTCACCCACACATATCTATACACACACTGAACTTTTAGTTTATCAACTGCAGAGACAGAGACTCATGTGGGTGGGAGTCAAATCAAATTGAGTGCAGTTCACACTTCCGCAAGTGGTTCAAACAGCTTTTGGGCTTTAATTGATAGAAATGAATACCAGACTCCCATTTCTGTGTACTTGCATGTAAGCAGTTGCTGAACTATTTAAAATGTGTAAATGGATAGCACATTTCTTTGCTAGTAATTGTTTCATATGGTGACATCTGCCTTTTAAACTGGTTTTATTTGTGTCAAAAATATTTAATTTAATTAGAGAGTAATAAACAGATACTTTAAGATATTTTAAAAAAATTTGTTCACACAATGATAGTCAATGACTGACTTCCAGTTAATGGACAAAAAATGTTGATTTTTTTTTTTTTTAATTCCTCTTTTGTGTTCCACAGAAGAAAGGAAGGCACACAGGTTCGAAATGATGGCAAAATTTCCATTTTTGGGGGAACTGTCCCTTTAAGATGTCCCATGTGAATATAAGCTTGTTGTTGTAAATAGCTGCTGTGACAACAGTAAACTACTACAGTCAGTATCAAAGACATCATGTTATAAAAGTAACACAAAATGGTAAAAAAAAATACTCTAAACCAAGAGGTAACATTGGGAGTTACAGCAGCAGAAGCTTTAATGCCCCTAAAATACACTCTGATGGGATGCATGTGCAATGTCAAGGTCTCGCTCTGTTCCAGTTCACGCTGTGTGTGTGTGTGTGTGTGTGTGAGACATCCCAATTAGGGAGAGAGAAAGGACGGACACACAGAAAGATTTTCTGTACTGCGGACAGTGTGGTAAATTGCATAAAATGAATAGAAATGTTCTTTTCTTTTATATGAAACAAGCTTTTGCATAACCTTCTTTAATGGACAGCAAGTGTCTGGAAAGCGGTGCACTTTTAATAAAGCGATGTTCCAGGTTGAAAACAATTTAAGGTTCTTGATAGCATATGTGAATAATAGTATAAATATTAAAAATAAAATACTACATTAAACAGAATTTATATGGTAAATATTATATTATTGTATTAATATATTTATATAAATAAATATAAACATTCAAAAGTGTGTTCATAAACCTAGTAAAAATGTTAATATTGTATTGAAATTAATATTATTGCAATTAAAATAACTGTTTTCTAATTTAACATATATAAAAATTTAATTTATTTTGTGATCCATCATTACTCCAGTCTTCAGTGTCACACGATCCTTCAGAAATCATTCTAATATGCTGATTTTCTGCTCAAGAAGCATTTTTTATTGTTATTATAAATGCTGAAAACAGTTATGCTGCTTAATATATTGTTAGACTGTTTTTTTGGTGAATGGAAAGTTTGAAAGTTTGTAACATTATAAATGTCTGTACTGTCACTTTTGATCAATTTAGTTCATCTTTGCAGAATAAAAAAAAAAATACTGACCCAAAACTTTTGAATGGTTCTGGGTTATACGTTTTTAAAAAATATATATATATATAAAGGTGACAGTGTGCATATTTTGTCTTGTTTCTTTAGATTCTATATGAGTGTCCCAAAGCCCAGAGAGAAGTGGAACTGCACTGGCGAGTATCCGGAGGGCCACACATAGTTCGGATCCTCACCATCTATGAAAACATGTATCGTGGGAAAAAATGTCTTCTCATAATTATGGAATGGTGAGTCCTGTCGTTTTCCATCATGAAATAGTACAGGTCTTTGTAAGCAGTCAGTCAATGTCCTTGACTAGTGACATTACATTTTTATAAAGACGAGAGTGAAATCTTGTGATCCTGAGTCACGTCTTGCTCTGAATGAAGGTTTCAGTTCTCCCTTTCACTAGTCGTACCTCACTGGTTTTTCCATTTTATTCTCCCCCATTTGGACTGTAGTGTTTCAGTTAGAGCAAGACACTTTAAAAACACCACAACATAAATCAAGCCATAAAAACATTTAAAGGGCTCATCCCTTTAAAATAAAGCCAGTCACTTTTTAAAAAACTTTTACTAATAATTTACTCAACCCCTCCAAGATGTCCATGTCATTCTTTCTTCAGTCGAAAAGAAATTAAGGTTTTTGATGAAAACATTCCAGGATTTTCTCCATATAATGGACTTCAATGGGAACCAAACGGTTCAAAGTCCAAATGAGAGTTTCAGTGCAGCTTCAAAGGGCTTTAAACGACACCAGACGATGAATAAGGGTCTTATCAAGGACCCTTCGAGTCATGACTCAAAAAAAGATTCATTCATTTTGATGAACGAGTTCGAACAGGAGAGTCACGAACACTCATCACAGAACAGAGCAAGGTGAGCATTTGAGCTTATAAAACTTAAACTTTTTTATTTATTTTTTAAATGAGCGATCGTTTCGCTTGATAAGACCCTTATTCATCGTCTAGTGTCGTTTAAAGCCCTTTGAAGCTGCACTGAAATGCACACTTGGACCGTTTGGTTCCCATTGAAGTCCATTATATGGAGAAAATCCTGGATTGTTTTCATCAAAAACCTTATTTTCTTTTCGACTGAAAAAAGACAGACATGGACATCTTGGATGACATGGGGGTGAGTAAATTATCAGCAAAAGTTTTTTTTAAAAGTGAACTAATCCTTTAATAGTAAAGCAGTCATGAATCATGATTGTTGCATGTGTGGTTTTATAGGGTTAACTTCTGGTTAAACAAAGACAGACTGTAAATTCTAAACGATAAAAGTTTATTCCTTCCCCATAGGCAACTTTAAAGCTAGCAGACATGGACTCAAAGCCACAAATGTTTGATTTGTATTCCACGCCGTGTTTAATCAAACGCTGGCTTTGAGTGCTATATTAAGTGGCTGTGATGTGCTTTATCTGGGGTGACTGAGAGCGCGAGTGTAAGTGCATCACTCAGAGAGAGATAGACTGTCATGGTCCGAGATTCAGAGACAAACGTTACATCCCTTAATTAGAGCTCATTTCCTCGCTCCCTCTTGCTTTTGGACATTTTGGCAATAAAATGATTCACGTCATTCAAGTTGTTGTTGTTTTTTTCACATGCTAAGCTGGGAAAGAACTCAGCTTATTGTGATTGTGAATTTGTGCATTAAGCTGTATAATTAGTAAGTGTGTGTGTGTGTGTGTGTTTGTGTGTGTCAGTATGGAGGGGGGAGAGCTCTTCAGCAGAATTCAGGCCAGAGGAGACCAGGCCTTCACTGAGCGAGGTGGGTTTATCTGACTCTTTGTTTTTATAGCGCACACTTTATATGCAGAATTTATATGCCACACAATGCCACACACACATTTTATTTTTATATTTTACGGGGACATATTTATAATGTAAATATACGAGGGCTGTGCAAAAATTAATTGCGATTAATCGCATCCAAAATAAAAGTCTGTGTTTACATAATATATTTGTGTGTGCTGTATATAATTATTTTGTATATATAAATAATGTATATATTTAAGAATTATTTGCGCTTAAATTCTGTATATATATATATATATATATATATATATATATAAATAAATAAATAAATATAAATATTTTATATATGAATAACACATTTTATTAAATACATACATGCATGTGTGTGTATTTATATATACAAAATAATTATATACAGCACACACAAATATATTATGTAAACACAGACTTTTATTTTGGATGCGATTAATCGCAATTAATTTTTGCACAGCCCTAAAATATACCCTAACCCTAAACCTACCCATCAGAAAACTTAATTTAGTGTGATTTATAAGCTGTTTTCCCCATGGGGACCAAAAAATGTCCCTACAAGGACAAAAATTGCTATTGGCATTTACCTTCTGATTCTCTTATAGTTTAAATTTTTTTTATCTATATTATTTTATATTGATATTTGAATTTAACTATATTGCCAATTGCTTTATTTTACATTGTGAACATTTTATAGTCGTGAATATTTTAATAGTGACATTGTGTGAATTTGTATTTCATTATTTGTTTTTATGCTTGTGAAGCATGAGTTGCGTTCCATGTACTGTATGAAAAGTGCTATACAAATAATTGTTTATTATTAATATTATTATCTCTATGGGGACATTTGGTCCTAATAATGTAGGGTTTACCAGGAACACACAAACACACACACTTTATTTTTATTTTATTTTAGTTAACAATAAAAATCATTTCCCTGATATTTTTCCATTTAGTTGATTTTATTAGTTATGGGTTACAATAAATATGGATAATTTCCTATACACTTTCCATAGGTTAGTTACTATGAACTTAATTATGGTTATAATTATGATGTTAATTTCCAATATTTATTTTATTAGTTGGTTATCTAGTTTGAATATGATTAACGTTATAATTATGATTATGATGAGATTAATTTACCATGTAATTTCTGTTATTTGTTAGTTATTTATAAGTTAGTTATTTAAGTTAGTTAGTTATTTAGTTAGCTATTTATAAGGCAATAAAGTTATTTTTCCATGTCATTTAAATGCATTCTATATATTAAAATCGTAGATATTTCAAATAAAATGAATAAATATATATATAACAAGTATAATACTTTCTGTTAATAAGTAGGTTTCTTATTTAAAGGGATAGTTCACTTTGAAATTAATTTTTGCTATGTTTTTTTGTTGGCAGGCAAGTAACAGTGGAGATAATTGAAGTTCCCCATTCTCTTACACTTCTAATCATGAAAAGGTCGTGTATAGTTGACCTCTGTCTGTACTGTCCCCGCAGAGGCCTCTGAGATCATGAGAGACATCGGCACAGCCATCCAGTATCTTCACAACATGAACATCGCACACAGAGACATCAAGGTAACAAATCAACTGTTTTCACCAACTATGAGAAATAGAGTAACATTATATTCAAGTTATATATTGAGTAAACTGGGATAGTGGATAAAGAATGAGTGTTCACAATATAACACGCGCCGTTCTGCCCTCCTCAGCCAGAGAACCTGCTCTACAACAGTAAAGAAGACATTGGAGTTCTCAAACTAACCGATTTTGGCTTCGCTAAAGAGACTTCACTGCATAACCTGTTACAGACGCCCTGCTACACGCCATATTACGTAGGTCAGTATACTAAGATGAGTGAAAGGCACAGGGAAAGAGAGGGAGTTATTTGAAGAAGTCTGCTAAAGCAATCGTATGATCTTTTCTCTAGCACCGGAGGTTTTAGGCCCTGAGAAATACGACAAATCATGTGATATGTGGTCTCTTGGTGTGATCATGTACATCCTGTGAGTATATTGATTCTGTTTGGGCGTTACCTTAAGTGTTAAATAAATGCTATGGTGTTCGTTTTTTTTAGCTTCTATTAAACTGGCTGAAACTGCTTTGTTCCTCTTCATGCTACACAAAGGTTGTGTGGGTTCCCACCGTTCTACTCCAACACAGGACAGGCCATTTCACCGGGTATGAAGCGGCGGATCCGCATGGGCCAGTACGAGTTTCCCAAACCAGAGTGGACTGACGTGTCTGAGGATGGTACGGTGCATTTTATGTGTATTTTGCACCCTGTCAAACTTCATGTTTGCTGTTCACCACCAGAGGACAGTATCGATTTTGTTTTGTTAGTCATTTCAACAACTATGTGTTATTATTTGGACCTGTTTTATGTATCTATGATTATTTTTTCTATAATTCAGTGCATATTTTTTCATTTGAATTACTCTTCTTTTTATGCTTTTTTATTATTATTTTTAAAGCATTATAAATATCATATATTCATGCAATTTAAAAGAATATTAAATATGTATATACAATTATAATAATAATAGTTATATTTATTCTTAAATATATTAAAGCATTTTATTTACAATGTACTGAGACACACATACATATATATATGTTGTTTTTTGGTGTGTGTGTGTGTATCTGTATATATATATATATATATAGTTTTTTTGGTGTGTACTGTATATATATATATATATTTATATGTATATGTGTGTGTCTGTACATTGTAAATTAAATTAAATATTTTAATATATTTACGAATAAATTAACTATTGTTATTATAATTGTATATCCATATTTAATATTCTTTTAAATTGCATGGATACATGATATTTCTAATGCTTTAAAGATTATAATATGAAAAAGGATAAAAATTAGGATAAAAAAATTAATTAAAAAAAAATTAATTAATTAAAATTTAAAAAATTAATTAAACATTTTTAAAAAATAATTATTTACGAATAAATTAACTATTGTTATTATAATTTTATATCCATTTTTAATATTCTTTTAAATTGCATGGATATATGATATTTCTAATGCTTTAAAGATTATAATATGAAAAAGGATAAAAATTAAAATTAAAAAATTTATTACATTTTTTTAAAAAATAATTAATTTGAAATGAAAAAAAATATGCACTGAATTATGGAAAAAATAATCATTATATATATATATATATATAGTAAAAAAAAACAGTTATGTTACTCAATATACAATAAAATATTACAAATAATAAAATATTGAAAACACTAATCTAGATGATGGGGACCAGTCATGTTCTTCTTAATAATATATAATAATATAATATTATCCTCCAGCCAAACAGTTGATTAACCAACTTTTGAAGACTGACCCCAATGAAAGAATGACCATTGAACAATTCATGAACCACCCCTGGATCAATGTGAGTATTTCAGCTGATCTGTCCTGTTTCCTTGGATATCATTTCACTGCATCTATTCCAACACTGAGATGTTTCTTTCAGCAATCCATGGTGGTTCCCCAAACGCCACTCCACACCACACGAGTGCTCACGGAGGACAGCGAGATGTGGGACGAGGTCAAGGTGAGCGCAGGATGATTTACAGTACCTGTTGAGAAAAATATAAAATACCATTTCAGTGTCTTTTTAATTCTATTTTTATTAACACTTTATTTTAAGGTGACATGGTTACATTTTACCACATGCACTTTCTATAGTAATAATAACAATAAATTATGCATAATTGCAAGTAATTAAACCTAAACCAGGCCAATATTAATGATGTAGTTCATTAATATTACTCAGTACATATTTGAGTAAGTACAGTGTAACTACATCACCTTAAAATAAAGTGTAACCCAATTTTCTTCTTTATTTATGTGATCTCATACAATCTGAAGATTGGAAACAATCTGTTAAGGCGTTACTATCTGTAATAGCATCTTTATCCTCAAGGGGGAGCCACATACACAACAAAAGCAACTCTACCCAGTTCACCTATAGTTCAAGTATATACACACTTTAACACTATACTACGACTTTTGCTTCAAAAAACTCCACATTACTGCTTTTTAATAGTTAGTAAGGTAGTTAAGTTTAGAATTAAGGGATGTAGTGGATGAAGTGTTACGTTATAAATAAAATGAAAGTAATACAATACAATCAACATTTTTTTGTGAATAAACAGTTAAAGGTGCAGTAAGCGATTTCTGAGAATCATTGTTGAACCTGTTCCCAATTAACCCAAACAAACACGCTCCGCCATTCTGCACGAACACACAAAGCAAGGGTGGATTTTGTTTTTTATCAAATTTCAAGCAAAGACAAATTAAGCGGATATCAGTGTTGGGCTGTACTAGTTTAACTACGTTCCTCAGTAGCATGGTGATAAAGTCGCTGTTTTGAAAGCTATTTTTTTTATTTCATCCACCCAAGCTACATTTTCTCAAGCATTTCTAAAGCTCTGGCTCAAATCGGAAATACAACTGCTAAGTATCACTGATGCTGGATCAGTAAGTGACGGTTACTTGTTCTTCGTGTTTTACAATTTCGGCAACCATACGATTTCACTCCCGCTATGCGGAAAACACGGACGGAGTCGTAGAATCCAGGCATCTACACAGCCGCTCTGAGAGTCACTTTAGTAGCATTTTAGCTTGATTTGAGAAAAACTATGGTCATATCATAAAAACACTGAGAGACTCAAAGGTCTACACGGCAGCCCGTCAAAATAAAAGGTTGGTTTAACCTTTGGTTTAACCTCCAGCACTGGAAGAAACTCACCTCTTTCTCACTCATCATCACTGGACACACCCCCTGCTACTGATTGGCTACAAGTTTGCTGATAATTTACTCACCCCCATGTCATCCAAGATGTCCATGTCTTTCTTTATTTAGTCGAAAAGAAATTAATGTTTCTGATTAAAACATTCCAGGATTTTTCTCCATATAATGGACTTCATTGGGAACCAAACGGTTCACGGTACAAAAGACACTTTCAGTGCAAACTGCAAACTGTTCAAAGGGCTTTAAACGATTACCGACGATGAATAAGGCTCTTATCATGCGAAACAATCGCTCATTTAAATAATAAATAACAAAGTTTAAGTTTTATACGTTCAAATGCGCGTTTGTGACTCTCCTGTTCGAACTCGTTTATCAAAATTAACAAATCTTTTTTTCGAGTCAATTCGTTCGTTTCGTTCGTTGAATGAACCAAATGACTCGAAAAAAGATTCGTTCATTTTGATGAACGAGTTCAAACAGGAGAGTCACAAACGTGCGTCACAGAACAGAGCAAGGCGAGCATTTGAGCTTATAAAACTTAAACTTTGTTATTTATTTTTTAAATGAGCGATCGTTTCGCTTGATAAGACCCTTATTAATCGTCTGGAATCGTTTAAACCCCTTTGAACCGTTTGCAGTTTGCACTGAAACTGTCTTTTGGACCTTTAACCGTTTGGTTCCCATTGAAGTGCATTATATGGAGAAAAATCCTGGAATGTTTTCATCAAAAACCTTAATTTCTTTTCGACTGAAGAAAGAATGACATGGACATCTTGGATGACATGGGGGTGAGTGAATCATCAGCAAAAGTTTTTTCAAAAGCGAACTACTCCTTTAAGTATGTTGTACGATTTATGATTTTTCTTCTTTCTTTCTCTTGGTTTGTAGGAAGAGTTAACCAGTGCGTTGGCCACCATGCGTGTAGATTATGAGCAGGTGAAGATTAAAGACTTAGATGCCTCCAGTAACCCCTTGCTGAACAAGAGACGCAAGAAAGCGGCGACAGGGGAGAAGAGTGGAGGAAGCGGATGCAGTAGCCAATGAGGGACTGGAGATGGACGATAGACAGATCAATGACACGAAGGAAAGTGCAAGATCAGACAGAGGGAACGGAAACAGAGGGAGAGATGGGCTCTCCAAAAGAAGAACAGAAGATGGCTGGATTAATAGAAAAAAGGCAAGAAAAGCAGACAATTTCATTGATAATCAGGAAAAAAAGAGGAATAATTGGAGGGAATGCACATGTACACAAAGGAAGTCCTTGTTTCTACCACCAGCACTGAAGGACTGAAAAAGCTGCTTCAGCTCTGTGTGTGTGTGTGTGTGTGTGTGTGTACCGTTTGTGAGTGTTCATTTACTTTATATGTGTCTTTTTTGTGTACTGATCTATTACTTGATGCGCACCTCTCGCACTGTGTATGTTATGTGTATTTAAGATGTGTTTTAGTCATCAGTCCGATCGTGCAGTTCACTCCAGAGACGTCATTTGTTGTTGATTTTTGGCTTTTGTTATCGGCCCTTTTTATTGCAAAATAAACATTTTCAATAAGTTTTCCGAAGAACTGTATGTCCGTACTGGAAATATTGCGAGATGTGGTACTTTTTGGTGCAGTGAGTCACTTCCTCAACCCAAACTACTCAACGTCTGCATAAGTGACTAAAACCCTGACATCAGATCAGTCCCAAAGAACATTTTGTGCAGTCTCCATTCCTTAGTGGACCAGTCAGAGTGTTCATAACATTTGAGAAGGTGACATCCGAATAATCGCTTACCAGAATTCGCATAATTACCCATTCAGCTCATTATGATGAAATACTGAGATTTCTCACAGGTACGTATGCTGTTTGAGTCGATTCTGACTGTAAAACTGAGTATATTCTGAGAAGGTATGTTTTCCCGTTCTAACTTTGAAAAAAAAATGTTTATGACTTGAAAGCAGCCTGTACTAAATCCCCTGCTTTCTTTGTGGTCAGGCACTGTGGTTTATAAATAGCACGTATCACATAGCGTTTTGGTGCAAAGCCAGGATTAGTCTGGCTGATAGTGGGCCACTTTCTAGTGAACATATTTAGATGACCACTTAACATTGACCTTTGCCCTAGTTTCTGCCAGCGCTCCGCTAAAACAAATGCTCACCTGATCTTTGAGGAACAAGTGCCTTTTGAATGAGCTAGCTACCTCAATCATAATCATGAACAATTATTTCAAAAATGTTGTGCAACATGATCTCAAGAAATATTTACAAAATGCAGTCAAAATCTATGAATCTTATTGCATTAGATAACAAAATATCAAAACAAATTATACTTATTTTAAAGAAATAAAATAAGTCAAGCACAACATTCATCAAAACGAATTTGAAAAATGATAAAATAATAGATGCACTGCTCAAAGTGAAGACAAACAGGTATTTGGACAATAGGTTGTTAAATTAAAGGAGTAGTTCACTTTAAAAAAAAAACTTTACTCACCCCAATGTCATCCAAGATGCCCATGTCATTCTTACTTCAGTCGAAAAGAAATTAAAGTTTTTGATGAAAACATTTCAGGATTTTTCTCCATATAGTGGACTTTACTGGTAACCAAATGGTTCAAGGTTCAAAAGACAGTTTCAGTGCAAACTGCAAACTGTTCAAAGGGCTTTAAACGATCCCAGATGATAAATAAGCGTCTTATCAAGCGAAACGATCAGTCATTTAAAAAATGTATAAGCTCTTCTTAAGCTCTCTGACTCCTGTTCGAACTCGTTTATCAAAATGAACGAATCTTTTTTCGTGTCATTTGGTTCATTCAACGAACGAAATGAACGAATTGACTCGGGAAAAGATGTGTTCATTTTGATGAACGAGTTCGAACAGGAGAGTCACAAATGTGCATCACAGAACAGTGCAAGGCGACCATTTGAGCTTATAAAACTTAAACGTTGTTATTTTTTTATTAAATGAGCAATCGTTTCGCTTGATAAGACCCTTATTATATTTTTTACCTTATTATACAGAGTAAATTTAGTGTCATTGATGTTCTGTTATATTAGGCTATTTAGAAATAGATTTTATTTAATTTTTTCTGTTTTTGCTTTAATTTTAATGAAAGTTTTAGTCATTATTAGTAGTTTAGTTTTTATTATTTTTTGGTCGTTTTTGTACTTTTTAGTAGTTATTTAGTAACAGATGTTTAAGGCACTTAGTTTTAAGGATTCAAAAAAAAAATAGAATGCCAAAACTTGTATCAATTTTAACAAATCTACATTTGCGTACTTCAATCTCTTTTTTTTTTCTTTAAAAAAACACCCATTAACAATATGATATTCAGATCAATGTGTTTACATGAGAGGGATCTCATTTTTTATATATTATGGAATGAACTGACTGTATTTGACATACAGAAAGCAAGTGCCTGTCTGTGCCGTGAGAGCCAGGAATGGGGAAAACTAAGGCTTGAGCCAGGGTCACTCACTATGGCCTTTATAAAGAATGTTCCGGATAGACGCGTAAAGGTCACGATCTGTTGTCACAAGTTGTGTATTTATTTTCAGCCTTCCCTACTTTCTTGTTTACACATGTTATACTCCACTTTTTCCATTGACACTGTAAATATATTTTCAGACCTCCCACGTTTTTAACAATTTGTGCTATTGTAAAAATAGTACACTTTCTGATGGAAAGATCACAAGTGTGTGTGTTTGCTTCCATCAGATCACAATTACATCCTGCCCTGGGACCCTTCTTAATTTCATGCCGTCATCAGAATTTCATGTCCCAGACTGAACTTAGCCGTAACTATGTCACACTTTTGCCTTTTTTATACAGCTTACCAAAAACATTGACTCATACCGAAAGCAAGTCAAGCTCAAACCATTTCAACTTTGTTTATTGATTGATATTCACCATGTGAATAGTTATTATCACCATGCACAGACCTGTGACCTTTCTCCTGACTTGGCCCGTGTTCACACAGCTCTATCTGTTTTTACTGTGGCGTCATGGTATGTGTTGGGTCGTGACTGACATGTTCCAGCCGTACAGGCTAAAAATGTTTTTGAATGCAGAATCACTGCATAGTCCAGCAGGTCAAGATGTTCCTAATATAGCCGAGACATTTCCTTAGAGACAGCGAGTGATTAAAACACCTCTCCTATATTAGTAGGCATATGTAGGCCTTGTTGAATTAGATTTTAATTGATTCTCCACAATGGTTTAATTCCTTATGATCTATCCATCTATCCATCCATCCTGTAATTCAAGATTATGTATAAGATGTTTCGGTATGTGCTGCTATTAGATAGATAGATAGATAGATAGATAGATAGATAGATAGATAGATAGATAGATAGATAGATAGATAGATAGATAGATAGATAGATAGATAGATAGATAGATATTATAGTATTATAATAGTGACAAAATGTATTATTTTTAGAACTTCCATATACGATTATATCATTTATACATAGTAAACTATATTTAGCCTACTATATTATAGTTATGTAGTTAAATAAATAAAAAAACTGTCATATAAAATTAAATTGTTTTGGGCGTGTTCAAAACGAAAACAAATGATCACATTCCCGCGAAAGTAACATACAAAAATTGCATAACACTGCGCAACAGTATCAACACAAACTTTCCCCTGATTCTTTCTAATGAAGGGTGGGTGTGTCCGCTCGCCTCTGCCTCGCAGCGATTGGCTGAGCCACCTGTCAATCAGTGGGCGTGTGCGCTCGTGTTTTCGCATACTTCTCCTTTATACCTCAAGGCTCGAGCATCAAAATAAAGCACTAACACACAAAACGCGGACAATGAGGGGTGCCAGCCGGTCCAAAAACACGCAGAATCTGGATAAAAGGGGTAAGGAACATGAGGTTATGGCTGTTCTATGGCGGAAGCAGCTGGTATTGTGTACGCGACGAGGAAGAAGTAAACAAGACTCTGTCACGTAGGCGCGTGTGTGTTGGACTCAACAGTCCACGAGCTGTTTATTTGAGCATAATTATATATATATATATATGGTCTGTTAATAATATACTCACATAACCTATGGTTATACATTGCTGTAAACCATGCGCGTGGTCTAAAAATAAACTGGAGCTGTGTTCTGTGTTATGCATTGAATGAATGAAGATAAGCACGTAGTGTTCAGGTCATGTGCTGCATGCATTGAGGTTTTATGTGCACCAAAGATCGATTTCATTTGGGCTGTGAAGCGTTTTGTGTTTGTGTTGGACATGTCATTCATGCTGTGGAGGAGTTGAGGTCAAATCCTGGCCATATTTGTTAGATAATGGAGGTAACAACTGCAGCTTGTCCAGTTGTAAAAATAGAATACTATGGCCTAGAGAGAAGACAAAAATCAGCAGAATTATATCATTAAGGTTATCAGCAAAGGATAAATATTATAATGAACACAGCTACTGAAGCATTTCTTCCAGATTTGTTCAAATGACAGGAAAATGAGGAGCTTGGCTTGCAGTAATGCATAGCAATTTGGGCTGGTAATTAAATGGGTGTAGGTTTGTAGCTATCTCTAAGGTATTGCCAAACCCATTGTGATGGGAAAGACAGATTCCAAACTAACTAAAGCCAATGGAATATCAGATATTTCAAGCTATCATACGGAGACAAGATAAGCTGTTTTTGGTGATTGTGATATGTTTTGAGAGATTATGATTTGTTGTTTGCAATATTCCACACCCACTTTTTCCTCGAACTACCAGATCATCTGAATGGTGATTTATGCGTTTGATTACTACCTGCAAAATATGATTCATAGTTTGACAATAGACTCTATTGTATCATAAAATCTAGAATTGGGAGTGAAATGTAAGATTGTAGAGGTTTTGTGGTTTACTAGTTCCTTATCCAGAACAGCTTAGTTTCAGTTGAAAGATCTGTTGCAAGTCATGATTGTTTTTTTTTTCCATTGTTTTTTTTTTTAAGAAAATGTTTACGGTACCATGAGAAAAATCTGTTACTAATATGCATGTGTTGTTAATTAAAAAAACTGTCCTTTAACTTAAGCTGAAAAGGCATTCTAACATTGCATAGCCTCATTGTTTTTCTTCCTTAGATGATCTGTTAACACATTTCAGTGCCAAGACATTGTGCACTGATATAAACACATGACGTTTCTCACAAATCACTGTTATTATGAAGCTATTCTCACAGCTGAAGTCAAATCCCCTACCCACAATCCATAGGGTGCGTAGCCAACATGTCTCTTTCTTGCCATCTAGTGGATAATTTGTGTGTAGTATCATGAATTTGACTTTACTTTAACTTCCAAAATGTAAGAAAAAGAAGGTTCTGACATTTGTTTTTGCCTTAAAATATATATTATTGTAATTGGCTGCTGTTTTTGAAGGGCAGTGGTTTGATGTTTTAGGTTTAAGCTGAGTCTATGATCTTTCACACTGCGAATTTTGATGGTGACCTTTGACCTGCTTTACATTATGTTGGAATTGCGTTTAATACGAGCATCATCTTTAGATCCTAATGTCCCCTGGACAACAGGTTTTACGAGATAGTCAGATTATACCAGTTGTCTTACTGATCTATCCATGTTACAACATGCCAACACACTGCAAAGGCCATTGAAAATGTCCATGATCAGTGTGAAACAGTACAGTATGTTTTTTTGTGTGCATTTTATTTAATCTAAGGGTTTAAGTCTCAAACATGTATGTTAATTTTGTAAATAGTTTCAAAATTACTATAAAACATTCAAATAATAAAAAAGTAAAATCAAATAATTCAAATAAGCAGTACCACATGGTGCTATGTACAGCTGCACTACTTCCTGAACTTCAGCCAGCTCCTTGTTTATTGTGCCATTATTGTTATTGTGTCTATGCCATTATTGGCCAAACTTGATTAATTCAGGTGTGTCTGATTATTGTTGCCGTGACTACTGAGGTCAGTCACACCTGAATTAATCAAGTTTGGCCAATAATGGCAGACAGGAAACAAGGAGCTGGCTTAAGTTCAGGAAGTAGTGCAGCTGTGCATAAAGTCAAATTTATAAGGCCTCAGATTAGCTTAAAAATCTGTAAAAATTACAATATACTATGTCATCATCAGATTGATGCAGTTTATGTTTTTTATTTTATTTTTTTAACAAGTAAAAGGCCTTTTAGTTTAATCCTAAAAACGTCCCTCTTCAGGTTTTGGTTTGCATTCCTTTTTGGTGTGAAATCATTAATTATTAGTAAACATTAAATATTAATAACAATATAAAAGCTATTTTTTACAAGATGAATGTTTAATGGACAGAAGCTACTGCCGTTTACATGATTATTCATTCATTTGTCTTTTGGAAAATCACGTTAAAATGTAGGCTATGTATCAAAGACGATACAACAGGCTTTAAATATCTAAATCTTTGGATTGCATTATGTTTTTGCCCCCCACAATTAAAACTGCAGAACTTTCATAAAACTAAGCATTTAAATATTATCTTATAAGACACATTATTAGGAGAGTAACAACTCATATTCAGTAAACGATCCATTTAAAAGTATATATTTTCCTCTTACTATTATTTAATGTCCGGCTTTACAGGGTTAAACATAATGCAAATGTTGCTGTTAGAACTAAAAAGTTTAGCTTAGTTACTGAAGAAATTTGTTAACAAAAAACGATAATAATTTAAATCGAGAATCCAAAATAATTAAAGCCCCTTTCACACATCGCGTTGATCTCGGGAAATTGTCCCTGAATTGATGCCGGGATGTGGATATATGCAGGTATTGTCCCGAATTTCGACCCCTTGCCAAATTATTACACCCCTGGCTGACCCCTCGTTGAAGATTGCCTAATCCTAACCCCACCCTAATCCTAACCCTTCCCCCGCAACGTTGTGCAATATCCAGTAACCACAAACGACTGATGACTAGTCTATCCAATAGGTCTATCCTCGACAGCGCTGAGAAAAGTAACACATACCACGTGACCACGACGTCTATTCAACAGAATGGATATAGAATGAATATTACACCGACCGACGAACAATTATAACTGTTGAGGTGAAAATATAATATAAATCCAGTAAAACACATATTTTAGGAAGCATTGTATCTGTCCTACGCTTAATCACTATGTTAATAATGTACACTTGGCATTACGGTAAAGTATCCTATCTACGCATCTCTTCGTGCCGTTACGGTAGGGCCATTCTCTACCAGTCTCATGACATTCTTCCCCGCGCTGTCTTTAGTGCGCACTGACGGTAATGAAAGCTCGTGTGTTGAGACGACGAATATAATGAGTGTAATAGAGAACAACACGGAGCAATGCGGCAATAGTCTAACCCGAGAGCTCACACAGAATCCTTTAAAGAAAATATGGGTGCCATCTTCCAAAAACGGCCTTCCAGAGAGACACATTAGTCAAAGAAAGGGTAAGTATGGATGAAAGGATGAGACCCGGACACTGATGCTGGAGTCGGATGAGGGTTACAGGGGCTTTCTGATGCAACACTTCAATGGTGATACAATTTAGTAGTGTCTGAAACAAATCTAGAGGCTTTTCGTGTGATTTTTGCATTTTTAAAATTAAACATTAAATGCGATTTAAGAAGATTAACGTTTCATACATTGAAGTGAATGATTGAGTTATTATGTATATTTGTAAATAATGGTCATTATAACAATGTAAATTGATACATAATATTACGCAGTTCACTAGTAAATGCATTTTCAAATAAACTATAAATATATAGTAGTAACAGAAATAAAAGCCGAATAATTATAAAAAAATGAAATTATTTCACATATGTTCAGCATTCTCACGGTAAAAACTTGTAAAATTAGGGAATTTAGAAAAAAATGCTTTCTATGCCAGGGAAAGTCATGGAAATGAATAACATCTTAAAAGTCATGTAAATTAAATGATCAGTTATGCTCTGCTCTAAAAATAAATATTTCAACGGCTAAATATTGCTCTTGTAAAACTATTGTTCTTGATCTGTTAAAGGACTGGTTCAGCTCTCAAAAGCTATTCTAATATCAATATTGGTGTATTTCTTTAAATACTTTATAATTTCAAATGTAAAACAATAATTCCCACACGTTTTAGATTGCAGCAATTTGTAGGACTATGTGGACATTGGTATGATATTATGCAATTTGATGTGGAGATACCAAAATGACTTATGCTCTACAATGACAACTCAGAATCTATTAATGCAATAAAAAGGTCAGCTAAACTGCACAGAGATTAAAACATTTCTGTGTAAACACCATTCGGTGTGATGAATGACAGTTCACCTGTAGTATATGTGAAGAATATTATTGTCAAAAATAATGTTCATGAGCTGCTTTTCTTTTTTCTTCCAGTATGCATGACCAACTGCCCCACACTTATAGTAACCGTGGGTCTCCCGGCCAGAGGAAAGACCTACATCTCCAAGAAACTGACACGCTACCTCAACTGGATTGATGTTCCGACGAAAGGTACAAAGCACATGCAGTGTGATTCTTAAATAAAACGATGATTTGTGATGGCTGTTTAAATGCTGGCCAAGTGTTTTTTGTTCCAGATGTGTGGCTTTGCTGATCCCGAAATTGGTTTGTCTTGGTTTTTCACTTCCGCAGAGTTTAACGTTGGGCAGTACAGACGTGAATGTGTGAAGATATACAAATCCTTTGAGTTCTTCAGGCCAGATAATGAAGAGGGGCTTAAAATAAGGAAGTAAGACATATAGTTTATCAATGGTGGTCAATTACAATATAAAATAAAACCACAGGTTTAAAAAGCTCATGTGATTTGTTGTCTCTTTTAGGCAGTGTGCACTGGCAGCTCTCAATGACGTTCGGCAGTACCTCACAGATGAGGGCGGCCAAGTGGCGGTAAGGAACACATTGAATTGAACAGAGAATTGTTATACAAATACTGTGCTCAAGTATAAGTTATCTTGGCTAAGTTAACATTAATATACGCATCTTTTCTGTAAGTTTAGGCCTTCATCCACACTAAGATGACTATCATGAAACTAGTCTAGTCATGACTAGATGATAGCTAGTCATGAAATTCATATTATATCTATAGATATCTATGGCTGTACCGGAATGGGCCTGCTAATTTTTCATATGTTTTAGCTTACCTCAAGGGCATCCAAGATGTAGGTGTCTGTGTTTCCACATTATTTTCGTTCATGTCTATCAGTCATATAATGGAGGTCACCACCTCAAAGAGCATGCACAGAGAAGTCCAAATTAAACATGATTTAATGACTCGTAAATGTAAGTACACATTGATGGCCTAAGACACGAAACGAGCGGTTTGTGTGAAAAACAAACAGTATTTATATCGTTTTTACCTCTTGTAACCACAGCCACGTCCAAGTGATCTGAGGGCGAGGGCGCTTCGGTCTGCACATGCGCCGGAAGTGATCTCTCACACGATTGCGGAAAAATACAATGTCGTCAGTTGATATATCGAAATCATCTTCCATTGTGATTTCCTCTATATGTAAATATGTTTAGGTAACACTTCCGAAATCTTTGTGTAAACAATGAGTGACGTACATGCGCGAGACATCACTTCCGGCGCTTGCCGGCGTCCCTCAGATCACTTGGACGTGGCTGTGGTTACAAGAGGTAAAAACGATATAAATACCGTTCGTTTTCTCACACAAACCGCTCGTTTCGTGTCTTAGGCCATCAATGTTATACTTACATTTACGAATCATTAAATCATGTTTAATTTGGACTTCTCTGTGCATGCTCTTTGAGGTGGTGACCATAGACCTCCATTATATGACTGACAGACAAGAACGGTTTGACCTAAAAATATCAAAATTGAAACTACTGTGGAAACAAAGACACCTACATCTTGGATGCCCTCGAGGTAAACTAAAACATACCAAAAATTAATTTCAAAGTGAACTATCCCTTTAATATTATATTCCTGCAATGATGACAGAAAAGATGACGGACGTGAATCAATTAAAACTAACTTAAGCTGTAAAATCACTTTATTCTAGACTAGAGCTGTCATAAAGCCAAAACAATCTCTGTTACTTAAATATCCTATTATCACTGTAAAGCAGCTTTGGAACTATGTTGTTAAAAGCGATATATAAATGAAGATGACTTGACTTGACTAGGTGTGTCCCCAATATGTGCACTTATGCATTATTCTATTGCGTTTTGTAGTGTGTGTGTGCAGACCTTATTCACTGCAGTTTAAACACCTGGATGATTCACCTAATTAACCTAAAAAATGAAGTGTGGAATGTTGGACACAGCACATACTGAATAAGTGTATAGTGCGTCATTTAGGCCACAACTATTGTCTCTAGCTCCAATTTAACCTCTGGCCATGTTGATCTTCATTTCTCAGGTTTTTGATGCCACAAACACAACAAGAGAAAGAAGAGAGACAATCATCAGATTTGCAGAGCAGAATGGTTTCAAGGTGCTGGAAATGGGATAATTCATCTACGATATTTATCTCATGTGTTTCTCACTTCAGTGGTTTTAAAACACTCTTTTCACATCACAGGTTTTCTTTGTAGAATCTGTGTGTGAAGACCCTGACGTTATTGCAGAGAACATTGTGGTAAGTCTCAGAAAAGCAGAGTGTTTTATTCACCTTGTTTTGACTGTTTTTGGTCTAAATTTGTGGGTTTGGTTTTTTTCAGCAAGTGAAGTTGGGCAGCCCAGACTACACACACTGTAACACAGAAGAGGCTGTAGCAGACTTTATGAAGAGGATAAAATGTTATGAAAACTCCTATGAGCCACTGGATGAGGAACTGGACCGGTAAATGCCATTTTGGTGCTGTTGAATTAAATCCAATCTATCTTGAATCCATGAATTTAACCTCTTTTTTTTTGTGGTGTGTTTAGGGACCTTTCGTTCATAAAGATCATCGATGTGGGAAGGCGGTACCTAGTAAACCGGGTTCAGGACCACATACAGAGCCGAATAGTTTACTACCTCATGAACATCCATATCACACCCCGCTCCATCTACTTGTGCCGGCATGGAGAGAGTGATCTGAACGTCAAAGGTCGTATCGGAGGAGATTCGGGCCTTTCGGCAAGGGGAAAGCAGGTAAGCTGTAAAGGCCTATTTACATCGAGTCATTGTTTTAAGCTTGTCGGTCTTGAAATATGCATTTCTAACAGTAAGAGGAAGTGCATTCCATAACCTGGGTGTGCAGCGACTGAGAAAGCTCTCTCCCCCATTCATTTTAATCTACAAGGAGGCTCCTGAAGAGGAGCAGAATCAGCAGAACAAAGAGAACGAGAAGGCGTGTTCAGGGTGACTAAGTCACAGATATAAGAGTGGCTATTCCATGCCTAGCTTGTATGTTAGTGTGAGAGTTTTGAAGGAGTAGTTCACTTTAAAAAAAACTTTTTTTAATTTACTCACCCCCGTGTCACGATGAATAAGGGTCTTATCAAGTGTAACAATCGCTCATATAAGCGAAAGAATGACATGGACATCTTGGATGACATGGGGGTGAGTAAATTATCAGCAAAAGTCCTTTAAAAACGACACACGAACTCCTTTAAAAACAACACACGACTGAACAGGAAGCCAATGCAAAATATAAAGCACGCCTGTGTGCAAAATGTGCAAATTAGCCTTTCAGCATCAGGCAAAGTAAGAGCAAGGCCTAATTATAGCAATGTTTGGTGATTGCAAATTTTTGTTATACTCTTAATATGTGAATCTAATGTCAGATAAGTGTATAAAATCACACCAAGGCCATCCATCATCAAATTAATTTTTCATTCATCTAAAATGAAGAAAATCACGGTTTCCACAAAGATATTGTTTTCAAAATATTTCTTGAGCTCCAAATCAGCATATTAGAATAATTTTTGAAGATCATGACACTGAAGACTAAAGGAATAAATTACGTTTTAAGATATATTAAAATAGAAAACTACTTTTTAAAATAGTTTTTACTGCATTTTTGATTAAATAAATTGATTAAATATAATAATGATGAAATAAACTAATTTTACTGACCCCAAACTTTTTGAACAGTAGTGTAGATTAATGGATATAATACTCAATTTTGCACTGGATCCAGAATCCAACAGTGTGAATTGAACACTTCAGTATCAGGTGAAATGATTGATTTTATTTTTTTTTATTTCAACAAAAACAGTGACATTATTTTCTTTTTAGAGCTGCTTTACAGCTGGATTGAACTCTTTTTAACAAAAACACGCTAGTCTCAGAACAGCTACAGTGGTGTAAATCGTAGAGCTTGTAGTTCGTAAAAGAGCTTTTGATGCGGACCCGAGTTCGAATCCGCCTTTTGCCGAACATATGAGATGTAAAAAGTACGGTATAAACTAACATGAAGGTCTCTAGCGTTATATTTTGCCAATGAATTAAAATCGAAACCATAATATGGATTTTTTGCCTTCATAAAACAGCACAAGACTTTAAGAATAGGCATTCTGTTTGTGCTGGGTGATTTAAAGAAAAGTATGCACTTTGCTCATGCGATCAGTATGGTTATCTGGTGTTTTCTCCTAACTAAAAGCTCAAGGGTTTATTTCTTGCAAGTGTAGAAATAAGGACTGTATTATAGTGTAATGTAGACTTTTTTTAGTCTAAAAAAATAAAAATATACTTAAAATACTAAAATATAGGAGTTTTTCCTGTGAGTAAGACTGGAAAACCCGTAGTGGATGACATCGGAGTGATAACAGAAGGCTTAGAGTGCAGAGAGGAACGTGTTTTGACTCCAGTCCTGGTTTTGCGTCCGCACCGTTAGGAGCTCAACATCTGTCTCGCATGCACGATCGCTCTAGATTAGAGGATATTTTAACTAATTTGCGGTAAAACTAGTCGCTCAAGTGATGGATCTATAGATAAACTCATCTTTCAGGTATTTTGCCGACTGGCTTGACACTTAAGCGTAAGAAATCGGGGGTGTGGCGTGAGAGCGTGAGAATTGGCTCAATTGCGTGAGTCTCACGCTCAGTGCGTGAGAGTTGGCAGCACTAAGGCAGTAATACAGTACGATCAGTTAATGTTCGCCCAAAATATGAACGCGTTCAGGACACAACACTGAACCCTAGTTATTAGCCATAACATGCAAGTAATCATCAGTCCAATTGAAGTTTCCGTGCTTCTGTGTTCGTTAGCAATTAAAACCAGTTTTGTTTTTTCATTCCCGCTCAGTTTGCCGACGCTTTGGGCCAGTTTATCCAGTCGCAGAATATCAGTGATTTGAAGGTGTGGACGAGTCAGATGAAGAGGACCATACAGACGGCAGAAGCTGTGCATGTACCATATGAACAGTGGAAAGCTCTCAATGAGATAGATGCCGTAAGTATCTTGTTTATGACTGAAATGCCCTTATTTTCGAGATATTGTGTTAATGGACTCCGTGTGTTTAGGGTGTTTGCGAGGAGCTCATGTATGAGGAGATCCAGCTGAAGTTTCCTCTGGAGTTTGCATTACGAGACCAGGACAAATATCGTTATCGCTATCCCAAAGGAGAGGTCAGTTTACATGAATCAGTGCATTTGCCACATACATCATAACGAGATGTATTTTAGCTTTCATATTTTATCATTCAGTGTTTGTATTGCTCTTTTATGTCCCAAAGAGCTTTTCCTCGCATTAAACACTCATGAAATAAGTGTTGCTGGTTGGTTGCTAGGCTCTCTATTACTCATGGCCAAATCCTCCCAAATGGAGTAAACAAGTCTGTTTTTTAGGCTGTATATTGAAGTTGTTCCCAAAGTGCCTAATTGACATTTTCATTCGGTGTTATTACTCTGACTAAGCACATCAGACACAATTACCCTCCGCCCGCACATTCACGCTTCCATTTGCTCCTCTGTTCTTCAGAGCGAGCAGTTCTCATTTAGATCAATATCTCAAAGCTGTTTACTCGGAGAGTGTTACAGCAGCACACTGTTCTCACTGTATTAGATAAAGACTGGGTGCAAGGTCTTCGTCACATGTTTAAGTTTGTGTGTGGTGTAAGGTTAAGGGTGTGTTATTTGGACTGCACATCATTTAATATCAATTGAGTTTGTAATATTTCAGTTGTGAGAGCAGTTTCTGTGAACGTATGATTTGAACTGTAATGTTTGTCGTGTTTGATTATAGGTCTCTTATTTAATATAATGAGTTTTAATTAGGGATAGGCAACGATTAATCGCTTCCAAAATAAAAGTTTGTGTTTACATAATATATGTGTGTGTAGTGTAATTAATTTGTATATATAAATACCCACACATGCATGTATATATGTAAGAAAAATGTGTTATTAATATATCAAATATTTATATATAATATTAATTGTGAATAAATATATATAAAATATATACATGCATGTGTGGGTATTTATATATAGAAATTAATTATACACACTACACACACATTATGTAAACACAAACTTTTATTTTGGATGCGATTAATCGCGATTAATCGTTGCCCATCCCTAGTTTTAATGGATTTAACGATCAGTGTTTAGTGAAAATCATCTGACTCAATTCATTGAAAAATGCATAGATTAATAGAGATATTAATCTTTGGATTTGAAGAATCGTATAATGAACATCTCTCTCCTCCTCACAGTCCTATGAAGACTTGGTCCAGCGTCTGGAACCCGTGATCATGGAGTTAGAGCGGCAGGAAAACGTTTTGGTCATCTGTCATCAAGCCGTCATGAGATGCCTGCTGGCCTACTTTCTGGACAAGACTGCAGGTGATGACCACCATGACACCAGAGACAGATCAACGTATCTCTTTTTAAATCCCAGTTCACTTGTACAGAGTTGCACAAAGTAATCTAAAGTCTAAAATCTTTTCGTCTCTTGCAGAGGAACTTCCTTATCTGAAATGCCCTCTACACACAGTATTGAAGTTAACACCAGTGGCCTATGGTAAGACAGGAAATCTTTCTCAACTAACCTGGACATTATTCTTTAAATAATGCGTTGATTGTGATTGTGAATCGTCCTGTGTCTCCAGGCTGTAAGGTGGAGTCAGTCTGTTTGAAAGTGGAGGCTGTTAATACACACAGAGACAGACCTACGGTAAGACTCATAAATGCAGTCACTTAGGTGGTTAAAAGCTTCCCCATCTGTTGTGGCTTAAGGGAAAGTGTGCAGTCAGTCTGTAGTTATACTTGAGAACTCTTCTGTGTAATAAAGTGATTAAGCCTTGTGGTCTCCTGGGCCTCAGCTGTTGCATGATAAATGTGGTCTTGGGCTCATTTATGAATTTGCCCAGGGTGAAACACTTTATTAGGTTTACTGTAGCATGCCAGTTTATGAAATATATCATTTTTTCAAGAGTTTACATATTCCTTTTCTATTATGGAAGTTTGTTTCTGCCACAGAATAAAAAAATAAATAAAAAAGTTAATTCAGAGTTTTTATCTCTCACAATTCTCTCTCTCATAGTTTTGAGTTTATATCTCACAATTCTGACTATTTCTTTCTTTCTCTCTCATAGTTTTGAGTTTATATCTCACAATTCTGACTTTTTTCTCATAGTTGCAAGTTTATATCTCGCAATTATGACTTATTAACCTCAGAATTTGCTAGTTTACATTTTGCAACACTGACTTTTTTCTCAGAATTGTCAGATATAAACTGGCAACTGCGCTAAAAAAAAGTCAGTTCAAAATTTTGATTTTTTTTTCCCCATGCAATTGTGAGTTCATATCATAGCATTTTTCAGCTTTCACTTTTTTATCATAGTTTTAAATTTACATCTCACGATTATGACTTTTTTTCTCAGAATTTTCTAGTTTATATCCTGCGATTATGACTTTTTTTGTCAGAATTGTGAAATATAAACTTGTAATTGCGACGAAAAAAAAAGTTAAATTAAAATGCACTTTTTTTTTCTTGCTTGCAATTGTGAGTTTATATCTTGCAATTCGAACTTTAGAACTCCAAGTTTTCTCTTATTTCACAATTAGCTCTGAATTCTGACTTTTTTCTCATAATTGTCAGATATAAACTGGCAATTGCGCCAAAAAATAGTCAGTTCAAAATTTAGATTTTTTCCCCCCATCCTATTGTGATTTTATATCTTGCAATTCAGAGTCAGACTTTATAACTTAAAGTTCTCACTTTTTTTCAGCATTTATCTCACAATTCAGACTTTTTTTTATCATAGTTTAGCTTTTTTCTCAGAATTTTCTAGTTTATATCCTGCAATTATGACTTTTTTTCTCAGAATTTTCTAGTTTATATCCTGCAATTATGACTTTTTTTTGTCAGAATTGTGAAATATAAACTTGTAATTGCGACGAAAAAAAGTTAAATTAAAATTCACATTTTTTTTCTTGCTTGCAATTCTGACTTTCTCATAATTGTCAGATAAAAACTGGCAATTGCGCCAAAAAAAGTCAGTTCAAAATTTAGATTTTTTTCCCCCATCCAATTGTGATTTTTATATCTTGCAATTCAGACTTTATAACTTAAAGTTCTCACTTTTTTCAGCATTTATCTCACAATTCAGACTTTTTTTTATCATAGTTTCTCTTTTTTTCTCAGAATTTTCTAGTTTATATCCTGCAATTATGACTTTTTTTCCTCAATTTTCTATTTTATATCCTGCAATTATGACTTTTTTTCAGAATTTTCTAGTTTATATCCTGCAATGGACTTTTTTTTTGTCTGAATTGTGAAATATAAACTTGTAATTGAGACGAAAAAAAGTTGCATTAAAATTCACTTTTTTTTCTTTCTCGTAATTGCGAGTTCATATCTTGCTATTCATACTTTAGAACTCCCATTTCACAATTAGCTCTTAATTCTGACTTTTTTCTCAGAACTGTGAGATATAAACTTTCAATTGCGAGGAAAAAAGTCCAAATTGTGTGATTAAAAAGTTGCAATTACCTTTTTTATCTTTGTATTTCATGGCAGAGACGAGCTTCCATATTTTATCCGGCTCTTGATTTGTGTGTGCACTGATGCATTTGTTTTACGGTTCTGTTACATCGTCGCCACGCACTCACCTCATCTATTAACGTGACGTCATTCCCTGTGTTTGCTTCAAACAGAACGTAGATGTGTCACGGCAGGCGGAAGAGGCTTTGTTAACAGTGCCAGATCATCAATGACAGATCCTTGTTCCTCACACACCATTGCCCCATCCCCATAGACACTCTAAAATGCATTGCCTAAAAAACATAGGCAGATTTTACAGCTCAATAAATGCCTTTTGAATTACAACTCGGATGCGATGAACTCTGAGATAATTATGTACAGAATGAACTTGTTTTTAAATGAATTTATTCAGTTTGTGTTCCTCTGTTCATTGATGTGTTAATACTAAGCCGCACTTTATCACAAATGCACACTGAAGTTTTTCAGTTCCTGCTGCACATGAATGTAACCGCTGCTATGAGGGAACACCAGTCACTCCAGTAGCACGTGCATTTTATTTATCGTGCACGTAAATGAATGCATTTGTAAATTAGGTTGGGTTTTAGCTGGTTAATTTTACATTTTAATTATTCGTCTCTTCCTAATTCAGGAATGTGTATTGTGTTTATAAGAATGGTGAAGTTTTGTAGCTGGCTGAGCCTTATTGTGCTCTTGGAAGTAAGACATTTTAGATTTTACGTACTAATTCATAGTCATTTTTTCAATTATTTGAAACACTAAGGAATGTCATAATGTGAAACTGTCCTCTTCTGTTTACTGAGGAGGAAAAATATCTACTGTAATGTCCATTTGCGATGCTAATAAAATATATTTGAATAGTGATATCCTGTCTCTCTTTACATTCACTCAAACATTAAAAAACAAAGACAGAACAGCTTCTGACACATATTTGTAATACACTGCAAAAAATTCTTCTGAAGAAACTACCATAAAATGATAACATGAACATGGCAGATACCATATTACAGTGATAAAAGGCAGCAATGTGGTTTGTGCCAGTGAACTTTGACCTGAAGTCAAAGGGAGATATTAAGCTGATACAATTTTATATCACCTCATCTTTTGTCCCTTGACCCCTGTGATTACATTTATTGCTAAAATAACCAGTACCAGTTCAGAAAAAAAAGTCTTAGGTTACATTAGAAAAATCAACCATATAATAATCTGTCATTTTCTGTTCTTTTCCTAGAACGTTAATGTGCACCGTACTGCCGAGGACGCCCTACAGACCGTCCCGCCGCACCTCTGACCTACAACCACTTCGCCTTCTCACCGTTCACTACACCTGGGTCTCCGATCCAAGCCTGGGATTACCGTTTAAAGGTCAACCCTGCCTTCAGATAGACTCCCGGTCATGTTCTGCTCTGTCTTGTAAACCTGGAATCAGTTGAAGTGTAAGAGATCTACTGGTTGTGTATATAGTATGTGGTTTCTCACTCTATTTTTTGAAAGAGCCATTATCAGTTTACATGGCATGAGATACACGGAGCCCGGGAGATTTTGTTTGCACTTAAGGGGTGTGGGAAAAATGTGTTCCAGATGGATGTTGAATTAAATACTATGGTTCTTATGTATGAGATATGTCAATCATACCTATGGGATCTGCAGGTATGTATTTGTGCTCTCATTTAGTCAAATCTAACAGGAAATCTCTCTGTTATTTTGAGGGATGGATGACAAAAATGTTGCTTGTTTGTGTGTGTACATACAGTACAAATCAAAGAAAAGCACTCATTGCGTGTCAAAGAATTGTATTTAGTTCAACTCCCTCTAATGATGGAGCATCTTTATCTTAATGTTTTATATGTTTTACGAGTTTAAAAATAAACGTTGATATTTAAATCAGACACTGATTATTATTTTAAATCAACACTGACAGTTGCTCAAGCAAGTATTTTTAAAACCTTTCAATTTTATTCAGAGTAATTTTGCAGAATATACTGACTTTCCAACAGTGATTTTTTTTTTTTTTTTTCTGAAAAATGTAAGTGCTTGTGAGAAACAACATAAGCTGTTTGTTACATTAACAAATTTGGGAACAAGATAAAAATCTCAGTATTTGTATTCATAATGTTAACCATCAATTTCCACAAAATATAGTGCAATCCGAGTCTGTAATTCCTTTTGTTCATCAAAACATGTTTAGATCGATTGAAATGTTGCCTCAAACCATATCCAAAGAGTGCTGTGATAATTACTTTTGAAACAGATCTTGACTATATGAATGAGATTTTCTGGAGTATGACTGGTTGTACTATGATTATTTAGTGCCAGTATCACACTAAATATATATATATATATTGATGTAACAGTGCATCAATAGTAAATTTTAATTTATTGGATGTATTAATACTTACAAATATATAAAGATATGGTTTGATGTAATGGTGCATCAATAGTAAATTTGAATTAATTAAATGAAGTGTCTGTGTATCCAAATAAATGTTGATTCGAGATAACAAAGAGACGAATATTGTATAGCTAGCAGCATCTTGGGTAAATAATCTATTTGATGTCAAATTACATGGATTTTTTTTGTTGAAACATTGGAAAAACAATATTGTGTGTGTTTGAATTGTATCTGCTCATTGAATAAACATTTTGTGGTGATTTGTTGTCGAAATATTTTATTGTAGCCTACTGTGTACAGTCAAAAACAATAAGCTACTTAAGACCATGTGTTTGACTGATAGGGATTTTTTGTCTTATATATTCCATCTCAAAGGATAAGAACAGCCTTTTTTTAGTCAAATTAATTAACCCCCCAAAAATATTTTGCGTTACTCGATGGAACCACGAAAAAACACCTGGTGTTGAATAGAAAACATGGAGTGGATCTTCGAGAGGAGTAACTGTAGAGCGCTTTGAGCGGCGGAAGGGAACCTCTTTCGCTCCAATTTTAGTCGTTACTCCAGACCGCGTTTTCATCTATTCGTTGATTGGTGGTGACCATAAAATAAAAAAAATGGTGTGACAGGCTTGATGTTTTTTTTTTGGTCGGGTTTTATTTATTTATTTTTTGTTTTTAAAGTCTTTGGTTATGACAAAGGCTTGATGCTTTCGGATTCTGGGAAGGAACTATTTTAGTTGGCGGCCAAGAAACGTAAGTCAAGCTACTCAATTAATAATTACTTGTTTCAAGAACTTTTAGGAAATCAATATTACACTCTCAATAGAGCTGTAGAACTAAATATTAACACGGCTGTTTTGTCCTTTATCAACTAATTATTCTTAAATATATATATACTGGGAAAAATCCCTGACGTAGGCCTACTTCACAAACAAAGACAGCAAAAAGCAATTGAAAGACAGAATGTTTTGATGCCAAAGTAATGCGTCTAGAGGGCGCTATTGCCTCAGAATTTTGACTGAGATCAGTTTCTGTTGCTGCAGTTGACTGAGATGTCAGTGTGTGTGTGTGTGTGTGTGTGTGTGTGTGTGTGTGTGTGTGTGTGTGTGTGTGTGTGTGTGTGTTAAAACACTAGCAGCATGTACTCAAAAAAAATAACTCTTTGGTTGAACATAATTCAATCATGGACAGTGGTTCCAACTTGGGTGTTTTGATGAGATACTGTGGCACTTTTTTCTGTAAATCAATAGATCTATTAGACATATATTTTATTCAGAAGTGACGTTATAATGGTTTGCAAAACTCAAGACGTTTTCATATATTACATGACTAAAATCAATACACTTATGTGTGATTTTGGGCCGTGTTGTCGTTTGTTAGCAGAACAAAACAAGTCATCGTCTTCCAGATGTTTCTGCAGTAAGGGACACTATTGGCTTCATGCTGTGTTAGCCCTATAGAGTCTTATTATTCTAATTTATTGATCAAATTTAAAAATTTAAAGTGAAAGATTAAGCTTTTAATGATTAGGGAAAATGCCCTTTTGAATGAACATGCTGATTTGAATATGTCAAAGCTGAATCACCGATTAACTTCTCCGAAATGAGAGAGAACACACAGTTTTCTATTGGTAAGGTCATGGGTCCAATAACAGACAGGATGAGGGAATTAAAGCTGATAGAAGAAATCAGAAAACAACACTGTTCAAAAGCTTAGTGTCATCATTTGTAAATGTTTTAAAAGTCTCTTGTGCTCGGTGAATGGGATTTCTCAAAGTACAACATGTTCCTGGTTCAACATCCTTGTTGATCCAGGAACCACAGTCCATTCAACCAATCATATTTGAGGGATAGGTTTATAATGTATATGCTTAGTCAGTCTTACAACAAGGGTTCTTCAATACCATTATTATTCATCATTTCCCGCTGATTTTAGGGATAAGTTATGGGTAGGGTTAGGAATATTTTTGGACAGGAATGTTGTTCCAGGATCAAAAGATGTCAATCCAATACATTATACTCACCCAGGCTGCATTTATTCAATCAAAAAGGAAAGTAAAAACAGTAATATTGTGAAATATGATTAAAATATTTCTGTTTTCTATTTGATTATACTTTAATATACTTGTATTATTACAGTCTTCAGTGTCACATGATCCTTCAGAAATAAATCATTTTAATATGCTGATTTGGTGCTAAAAAAAACATGAATATAAAGTCAAAAAGAAGAAGCGAAAACTGTAAAACAATATTTTTTACGATTTGTTATCACAACATTTTTTTTGTCAAATCAACTTAAATCATTTATGTAGTTCATATAACATAATATTTTGAGTTTCTGATGATTAAATCAATCTCCTTCATTGTATTAACTCAATTTTTCCATTTCAATGAACTTGGCAACCATGTTACTTCATTTTTTAAGTTAAACCAACAGTATTTTTTTACAGTGCTGACATTATAAATGTCTAAATGTGTCCCTTTTGAGCAATTAAAAATACTAATTATTATTTAAAGAATTATTGAAAAAAAAATTGTTTGGCATATTTTTTTAGAATTATTTCTTGAGGAAATTTTTTTTTAGCTAAAATAGTAATAATTTTGCCATAAAAATCAAAATCGCTTGAAAACGATATACAATATAAAAACCTTGCATGCATGGTTTGTCATTAACCCTTTATGTAATTGAGGAATGAATGAATTAAAAGTGATTGAAGAATTGATTGACCTAAGACTGAATTGAATGTATAGTAATAAGTTTGAAGAGAAATCATTTTAAACTGACAAGTGATGATGATGAAGAAAACAACACTTTCATTAGAATCAAAGCCCATGCAGCACATCTGTTCATCTCAGATGATGCCAGTGGAATTCCCAGCCTTGCTGTTCCCTGTTCCAGCTGTCATTTTTCCCGCAGGGTCTGAGCCATGCAGTCCATAAAAAACAGGACACAAGTTTGTCAGTTGACTTGGCCCTGTACAACGCATCCCACTCATTTCAGCGTGACCGCAATGCACAGACTTATGGGTGTGTGAGCAAACAACAGAGTGCTTAATGTCATTCACAAGGTGAGGCATCTTTTGTTCTGCATAAACGAAATGCCACTCTGTCTTTTTAAGTTTAATATCTATAGTTAAACAGGTACAATATGCAAATCACCATTCTATGCAAATAGATAGTAAAAGAGACCACTTGTCATTAGAATGCAAACATTTTAATGACATTATTGTTGGTTGGATTAATGCTGAACATTTTAGCCATGTAAATCAAAGGAAGATGCTTTAATTTTGAATTTTTACAATGTTTACAAAAAATATACAAACATATTTTAATAATAATAATGGTTGTGATTATTATTAATGCCATTATATTTAAGCTACACTGTGTAACTCTTTTAGTTTATTCTTAGCTAAAAACACTTAGTTCTTTCAAAAATATATGTGCTCATTAATGTATATTTATTTCGTTCAACTAATAAAGTGTTCTCGTGAGTGTATAATATGCCATTGGAAATACATACGGGTAAGGGCTTCTAATGTCGGTCTCCATCTTGAAAGTACATTAGCCAAAGAGGGACATACCCGTTAATTCAAGCTTCGCCTTTTGCGTTTACGTTTGAGTTAACACTCATGGACGAGGTCGAACTGGAAGCCATGTTAATCTTGGACTACATTGGCCACCGTAGGAGTTAAAACGAAATCGGAATTGAGAGGAACAGAAACTAATATTCACTGGATGGTCATATACCTTTTCACCACTAGATGGGGGTAAAAATCACACAGTGTAGCTTTAATGTCAAGTATAACTTTATCAGCAGTGATATCAATATTAATACAGTGCCTTGGAATATCAACAGTATAAACAAACACACAAAGTTTGATGACAAATTACTGAAAGAAGTTTTTTAATGAAATATTTTATTAATACATTATATTGCGTTCAAAATGAGAGTTCCAGGAAAGTTAAAATGTTCTTTCATCTGTACTGTACATTCAAGACTTCAAACCACTGTTTAATACACCTCGAGGGAAAAGAGGAAAAGGTTAGATAAATATCATCACATCATCTGTATTGCACTCAGGCCGGTAATGGACACGAAAAGGCAACCATTATAAGGAGATGCCTTCGAAAGGCACTACAGCTAGATTTTATTTTGATGCACCTCAAAATAAAATATGTCTGCTAGTCCTTTAGAAAACATTAATATGACTCAATATAAAACAACAACAAAAAAAAATGTGTAAATTGAAACCGAGGTTTTAGAATAAATGGTGATTGGCTTGAAGGAATAGACTGTAGGGATTCTCCATTGTGGGAGAACCTAGTGTCCCTGCTGCCGTCCTCTGTTTCCAGGGTCACAACTTCCTGACCGCAAAACACAAAACACAAAACAGGATATGGCTTGCCTCTGCTGAATCTCTGGGAGAAAATACAATGAATTTCAGTAGAGAATATCAGCACAGTTGTACAGCTCTAGTGCTCATGTGGATGATGCAGGTTCTAGTCTGACTGATCCCATTCCCTCCCTCTAACTATTTCCCATGGCCTTTCTGCTGTGTTTATCCACTGCAAGGCATTGTTACCATCAAATCATCAAAGCGATGATCAGTGGTGCATATTATGGATTAATCTGCACTATGAACATGCTAAATTAGCATTTAACATGTTTAAATAGTTCACTTTGAAATTAATTTTTGGTTTGTTTTAGCTTACCTCCAGGGCATCCAAGATGTAGGTGTCTTTGTTTCTGCAGTATTTTCAATTTTGATATTTTTAGGTCAAACCGTTTGTCTATCAGTCATATAATGGAGGTCTATGGTCACCACCTCAAAGAGCATGCACAGAGAAGTCCAAATTAAACATGATTTAATGACTCGTAAATGTAAGTACAGATTGATGGCCTAAGACACGAAACGAGCGGTTTGTGTGAAAAAACGATCAGTATTTATATCGTTTTTACCTCTTGTTACCACAGCCACAAAGCACCCGCGCCCTCAAATCACTTGGACGTGGCTGTGGTTACAAAAGGTAAAAACGATATAAACACTGTTCGTTTTCTCACACAAACCTCGTAACCTCGTATGTTTAATTTGGACTTCTCTGTGCATGCTCTTTGAGGTGGTGACCATAGACCTGCATTATATGACTGATGGACACGAACGGTTTGACCTAAAAATATCAAAATTGAAACTACCGCGGAAACAAAGACATCTACATCTTGGATGCCCTTGAGGTAAGCTAAAACATACCAAAAATTAATTTCAAAGTGTACTATCCCTTTAAAATGCGAAGTGATCTTATATCAATATATACATAAGAAACAAATCACCACATTTACTGTATATATAAAAAGAGCTGGACGTAAATGTTCAGTACTTGAATACGCAAAACATTATCGGTATGCAGGACTGTAAGTTCCTCCAACTGGAAACATATTCAAAGCAGAACAACATGAAATGTTCAACATCACAGTTGAGTAGGCTTTATACTCCGAGGCACATTTAAGATGTCTTCTTCACGGCTCCACTGAGTCCATTAGTCCGACAAGCTCTCCCATACGTCCCCTGTGATGAATCCCACTGTAAACATTTGATTTGAATGAATGTAGATGTCTGCGACTGCGTCATAATATAGCACGTCATGAACTAACACGATAGTCTTTTCTATTCCTTAGCAAGTGCAATTCAGTTCTGAAATGGTCCTTTTCTTGCAGTGCAGTCGTCCTCTTAATATGTACAAAGCAGCAATAATTTCATGCAGAACTAATACTAAATCGGAGAAGTATTACAGGCGCAAACATTTCGTGACAATCGAAAAAAAAAAAAGAAAAGTGACAGGATTATTGAGGGCAACAAAACAGACAGCAAAGGTAAAACTGGGCCACTACTTCTGTTTATAATATTGTAAATGTCTTTGATAAAATATGTATAGCAATTTTAGGGAAAAAATAGGGGAAGGGGGAATGTTTATGCATTAAATCATGCATCCATGAACAAAACACATGAAGAATCAAAATAAATAAATCAAAAAAATAAATAAAATCAAAATACATTTTTTTGTGTAACATTGCAGTATTTAATATAAATTATTTATCTGTGCACATCATTTATTTTTTTAATTCATGTTCCCCTGTAATCTTTAATCTAAATAACATCTCTTCTCTTCTCTGATGACGCGTTTACTGTGGCGCGAGGGCGGGGCAACCTGTCATTTACATGGTCACTTGACCAATAGCAAACCACAACCATCCAATCAATTTCCAAATGGACAACATTTTTTCATAATCGAGAAGCCGTTTCACTTGGATATACTGTACGTCACAATAAGGAAGAAAAGATCGCTACTTCCGTTCCTACTTCTCCCACGTTTTCCTCAGTAAATATTACAGGCAAAATTCAATTGTCCAATAGATTTTAGTTGATACTGATATAAAGCTAAGGGGTTCAATGATTATTTTTCTCCGATAAGCTTTGGTAGGCCAACTTGAAAACTACCAAGTCAGAGGGTTGTTGTGAGGTAGTGGCACAGACCTTATTAAAAATAGCCATGTTTTCCATTTCTCCCTTTAGTGTAGGGAGGATCCTTGGGGATAATCCAAGATGAACAAAAAACAACAATCCCCCAAATAATTTCACACTGAAGCAAGCTAGTTATATATATGGTCAGATATACACCCTAAAACAAACCAAATGATGTCTATCAGACTGAAAATCTCCCACTACATCTAGTAAACGTGTGCAAAGCCAGACGGGTAGATTTATTGTCATCGCTTTCACAGTACATTCAGCAGGCACGCCGGAGACCCGCACCGTGGATTCTCATGGTAATGCTGTCTCTAAAGAAACACAGTGAATCTACGGCTCAGAGTGAGTAGGATTGCCACTTCTGTTTGTTTAGGAAACTGATTGCTGCTTGATTTGACCCTTATTGAGGATCAATCGCAGGCAAAATTAGCTGAGAAAAAAAAAAAACATGTTTTTTTTTTTACATGTATTGCCTCTGCAAAGCATGTTAGAGGTCATTTTAGTAATTAGAAGTAAATAAATTATAATAAAAAAAACAAACGATAGACGTATACACAAGTCCATATTAAAAGGACAACACTGCAGTATACACTAATACTGTATTTGTGTACTTGCTCATAAGGTCATGCGAATTAGAAATAATAATTATTTACCAGTTGATCCTAGATCTGTGCTTATGAGCATTTCAAACTTATTAAATAAAGCTTCCTCTCATTTTCCATGCCACCAATTAATGGTCCTCTCAGTCTGGCACAAAAGAAACTTTTTCTTTGCAGTGTGCGCACAGTTAAGATCATAAATTGCGTCTAGGATAACAATATATATAAAAGCCATATTCAATTTTAAAACAGTAGTGGCTACTTGAAGAATTGCACGATTATTTCCTCAGGATCTGGGAATCACTCGATGGATGCCTCTTAAGTGTATCCCAGATTCTCCATCTCACTACGGTAGCGTTGCTCGGACACTCGGCTTTTGTGCTGCTTGCTCTCCAGGTGAAGACGAAACTCGGCTTCCTCGCTGGCACCCGAGTTACACATTGAGCAGTAGAACTGGCCGCTGGGTGTGACACACATTGCAAGGTCTCGTGGGATTCGCTGCCTCGGCCGTGGGTTGTAGTAAGGGCCTGAAACAACATAGGAATCATGTCAGGTCATGTATAAACGAAGCATCAATTAAATGGCTACATGAATAAGCAGATTTACAGTAAAAGATGATGAAATACATCCTCTGGAATGCAAAGCCAAACTCTGACTTTGGGGATTGTGTGCAAATTTTCATGTTTATACTTCCTTTAAAATTTTGCCGGTCAGTTTACGTTTTTTTGGGGACAAAAACTATATCTTAATTCAGATGAAATGCATTAAATTGATCAAAAGTGACAGTAAAGACATTTAAATCAATGATGTCCTTATTCTATTGCTAAAATATGAACTGTTTTAACGTATTCGAATGATTTCTGAAAGATCACGTGACACTGAAGACTGGAATAATGATGCTGAAAATTCAGTTTTGCCACTACTTTTAATATATAAACATTTAAGAAAATAGAAAACACCATATTTAATGCATGCATGCATACTCAGCTGTGTGCCATTCAGATTTGAACTAAGAATGCTTTTTAAATGTCTGAATTTGGTAAACAGGATGCAAATTGTAGAATCTGAATTTAAGTAAGTAGAATTTAGGAAGTTTAAATCATATGCAAAAGCTAACTTCTTTAATCTGGCTAGTGGGGCAAATGAATGCTATGCCGTGTGTTTTTGTGCATATGTGAGGACAGGACCACGGGGCAATGGGGGCATGTGTGTGATTGAGATCTGCCACCGTGTGGGTGACGTTCGTGAGCCCGGGTTGACGTGGGGTGGAGTATCGGCTTACATAGACCAAAGCATTGGCATTAGGCCTGCATTTAGCGAGCCGAGACTAGCGCATTGCGCTACATTAGCACAGGCTGGCAAACTAACACGCGCAGCTGCCAAGCGCTCACTGCCAAAGCTCTGATCACAAATGGAGGTTTTGCACCACAGCTTGGACCACTGAGCAGAAAACCGAACCCACGGGACAGATCACATGATGACAAAAGTCTTGTCTCTGCTAAACTATTTGTTGAGGTAAATATGTGTAGGCAGTACCTGGCATGGCAGTGTTGATATGAGCCCTGCGGTTCTTCATTAATCTGTACTCGTACCCTTCTTTCCGGGGCCGTCTCTGAGAGTCGGACAAGTCTCTGATAAAAAAAAAAAAAAAAAAAATCAATGTAACGATATTGATGGATGGAATGGAATTCAAAATAACAATATTTACCTGCAAGATATTTACAAAAACATTTTATTGCATAAAAAAAGCTACACAAAGACTTTTTAATCGTTGAATTGTAGTTTTGAATCAGTTCATTCAAACGGTAACTCTTGCTTCAGATATTTTACTCCAACTCTTTTGGATCGAGAAATTGTTGAATTGACAAAAATGTGAATAATATTCATTTCAATGACACACTAAAATAAAACATTCATCATTTAAATCTATAAGATTTCCAATGATAAATTGTATATAATCAGCAAAATCACTGGTACTATTGCTGCTTTTTTACTTGTATCACTAATTCGTTTTGTTTTGGAAAGCAGCATTCAAACCCAGCTTAACTAGTCATGTCGTGTTTGCTCAGATAGAATCAGACGTTTGGAGTGCAACAGAATATTTCTTCCTGGGTTTGTTATCAGGACCGCCCAACTTTGGCCACAGTGGCATTTAAATGAGTGCCCCACTTATCAATGCAAAAACAGTCTGAAGATAAAGCTGCCAGAAAAAAACAACATTTTCCTCCTACTACAAAATATCCTACTAGTTGATGCATATGTATACATGGATTTTCTTCTCATCAAGACTCTTATGAAAGATATCTATCCTAGATATATTTTAACTTTCATGTCAACTACCCGTATACTGGAACAACAAAAGGGGCCATGATGACCCTATCATTTTGCATCTGACATCCCCTCTCAGAGTCTAATCTTGCAGGACAAACTGCATAACGGTTGTCTAAATAAAAAAAAATTCACACCTCCCACACATATGGAAGGATTTTCCATGTTTAAGTTTTTAGTTTTTTTTAAATCTTGGAGCGCGTGGGTGTGACAGACTCACGAGGACGTGGTGTTCTGCTGCGCTTCAGCCAGCCGCAGTCTTTTGGCGTGGTTTTTGCCCTGATAGTGTGCCTGGGCCACAGCGGGGGAGCTGAAGGAAGCGTCACACAGCTTGCAGTAGTCGTTTTCCGTGGCCAGTATGACTCTGCTAGCGCCCTTAGAAAGTGGCTGCAGACGGGACAATGACAGTAGAGCTTTTAGAAAGAGTAGAGCGACGAAAGGTGTGCGTCCACTGGGACGTCTCTGATTACTATCACGATGGGCTTAGAGAATGGATGCTTTCAGAGTGACACCGCATTATCAAACCGCACTTAAAGATACTCCCAGATAGGGCTGGACGATAAAGCTTAAAAAATGTGTTGTTGTTTTTTAAGCTTTTTGATGATATTCAATATATCGTCGAAAAGTTTGGGATCAGTACGATTTTTTTTTTTTTTTTTAAATTAATAATTTTATCCAGCAAGGACAATTAACATTTCTAAGACATTTCTTATGTTACAAAAGGTTCCTATTTAAAATAAATGCTGTTCTTCTCTTTATCAAGAATCCAAGTATCACGGTTTCCACAAAAATATTAACATTTATAACAAATAGAATTTTTTTTTGAGCAGCAAATCGGCATATTAAAATGATTTCTGAAGAAATCATATTAGAATGTGACACTGAAGATTGGAGAAATGATGCTTAGAATTCAGCTTTGCCATCATAGGAATAAATTACATTTTAAAATATATTCAAATAGAACACAGTTATTTTAAATTGTGATATTTAGCAGTATTTACTACTATCAATTCATTAAAATGGACAATTCCAAAATAAAAGTTTGTGATTACATAATAAATCTGGATGCACTGTGTATAATTATTATATATATATATATATATATATATATATATATTTTTTTTTCATGTATATACTGTATATAGATTATTATATAATTTATATTATATATAAATATAAATATTTTATATATATATATAAATATATTTTTCTTAAATACACATGCATGTGTGTCTATTTATATATTTACAAAATAATTATACACAGTGCACCTACATATATTATGTAAACACAAACTTTTATTTTGGATGCAATTAATCGTTTGACAGCCCTATAAATTGCATGAAATTTACTAACTGGTGGTGTTAATGTCAGTAATGCTAATAGATAAAAAAACCCAACAACAATTCAACAAGTTTCGAAATATCCCCCTTGCTGCCATTTGACAGACAAACAGCTAGTTCAAGAAGTTCTCAGGGTGTGAAGAAGAACTCAGGGTGTGAATTCCAAAAGTGGGCGGTACCTCCAAAAAGGGGAGGGGTCTCCACACATAAACACTTTCACTTCCTCCAAATTACATTTCAATATAAAAGTTTGTAAATTAAACACCGTTGAAAAAAGATTAATTGATTTAGACATGTAAATACATATGACTATTTACATTATTTACATTGAAATATAACCATTAGCCAATCGAACTTTCATCTTTGGGGGGGGCGACAGGGTACAAGAGCTTGTGGCTCATGGTGTTCGTATGGGGCAGGACCTCTCATCCCACTCGGTCCCCACCTCCCTCATCAAGATAAAAGCAAGAATCTGTGAGCCTTGACCAATGAATTCTTTAGAATCGGTTGAGGGGCGGAGTTTGTGCTGAATCATGGATACATGCCATTCGTCTGTTTGTCAATTTGAGGAAGTCACACCCCATTTTGGAATTCTCACCCCCATTTGGAGATTTCCAGGCTGCAGCTTTACCCTTCTCCCAAATTTAGTCCAGTCCAGTTCAAAAGTTTGCTAGTGGCACATAGCTAGTCAATTGACACACATTCACAAATGTTGCTTCGTTTTACATAGCTAGTTATATCATTGCAAATACAGTAAATTGTAGAAAAAAAAGTAAATATATTGTCCAGCCTTATTCCAAGACAGCCTGAAAAAACACACTTGTTCAGACAAAAATGCATAAGCACCTGGTTGGAAGTCACATTTGCAGAATCTGTGGGTGGAGTGGCTGAGGGTTGCTGGGAAACAGGCTCTACTACCTCTAGTATTCGAATGGGAGGTGGCTGCTGGCTACCAGCATAAAAATTGCGCAGCTTCTTACTGTGGTTTTTGCCCTGTAGACAAAACAAATAATTTACATGCTTCATAAATGATCTCAAGAAAAACATCTCACTGAAAGAAACCAAAACTGAATGTAAAAATCAAGGCTAACATCATTGTGTTGGGCAAGCCAAAATCACTTTCTTGATATACAGTAAACACAGAATGTTAGTTCATTTACTATTCTTTTCTCTTATACATTAAACATGAGTTAGATTACCTGATAATGTGCCTGAGCCTGTTGGGCAGAGTTGAGAGTGACGTTACAAAGCTTACAGTACAAAGGCTTGCAAAGCTCTTCCAGAGTGGCTTCCTGGTCAGCGGCCACCGCCTGACCATCTTCCTCTGGGGGCTTTGGACTGAGGACAGGAGGTGCTGGGATGGGGGGGTTGGGCGGCATCTGGAGGTGAGGGGATGGCTTTAAGGCTAGAGAAGTGCAGTGCGGGAATTGCAAGGGGTCCTGCGACATCATCACAGGTGGAGGTCTGAGGTTCTGGGTCGGGGTCATGGCCTGGAAGGGCTGAGGTGGCTGCTGCTGACACATCAAACTAAGAGGCGGCTTCAGAACCGGGTCTGGACCTGGAAAGCCAAAATGTAGGTGTCAAAATGAGAAATTAAAGGTTCTGGGTTCCTTTCAGTGAACAGTTCTTAAAAGAACCATTTGTTTCTTAATGTGTGGTCGCAAATTTCAGGTAAATGTGGGCAAAAAAGAAGTTATGAAGCACCGTTCACACTAAAGCCACTTTGAAACCAAACAGTTTTCTGTTGGTCAGGACGGTGAATTTGCTTGACCAACTTGTACGAGTGAAATCGGCACGGGAAACTTCCAGAAGATCCTTAACCACTGCCCTCCATCTGTCTGCTGTGAGCTAGAGATGGTGAAGAGGTGTGCTAAAACCAAGCGATTTTTCTCATTAAACATGAATTTTCACTTAAAGTATGTCACAATACTATTTATAATGTAAAGAACCTTTTGTGTAATGGAAACGTCCCATGGATTTTAAAGGTTCCATAGATGCCCCAAAAAACTTTTTTTGGAGATCGTCCTAATATCTCAATTTGTTATCTTAGGCAGTAGTGAGATTAAATGTAGAGAAAACAAATGCTTTTGTCTCCTGCTTTTAAGGTAAACCGTTCTGAGAAAAAGACATTTCTTCTCTAATGTTTAAAAAAAAAATCTCAGATCTGTGCTCAGATTTGCCAAGTGTGCAATTAAGAGTCAGATATTTCTACATGAACTCAAACATTTATCCATCATATCCATGTTCAAATGAATTTTGTAGCTCTATGTTCTTATATTGCAGATGAATAATAAAATTTTGGCCGATACCATAACCGATAATTCTGAAAGCCGATAACTGCTATAATAGCCGATAAATCTAAATCCAACTTTTTTTGGAGAGCCTGATTACAAAAACAAAAGTCTCACCATTAAAAGTCAAATCCCAAGGACACACTTATAATGTTCTCATTATATTTTATGTAGACTTTATGACAGACTTGTGCTATGCATGTTCCTATATTCCAATCATATTTCAAGCAATTCAAAACCCTCATGGTGAACAGTGCGAATTTGAAGTGTCTCAGCTGAAAGAAATATATATATCTACAAAATTTGAAACATTAACAAAAAATGAACATATATTGGTCTATTCCAATATGGTGGCCGACATCTTATAAATATGTCCTTGAGGTGCAGTCACACTCAAACCAAGCAGCCAGGCCAATTTGCATAACTAACTTGAACATGAGGGAAATCTGCATGGGGAAATGCAAAACTTTTCCCATTGGAATGACTGGATTTCGCCCACGATATTTTACCGAGCAGGAACTAAATGAGACCTAGACCTATGAAACATAACATAACAAGTTTTCTGGGCTGCATACAATACATTTTTTTAGAACAGCATTCTAATAATAGAGTTGATGTATATAAGTGGCATGTCTTGTGCATCACAGTAACTGTAGCTGAAGGGAATCTTTGCAGTATGGCTTCTTGTAGATGTGATGAGGGCTGACTCCTGCCTCCTGAACTCAGCAAGTGTTTGGCGCTCGGGCAGAACTGAGGCCGGCCGGGCGAGTGGGGGGTTGGACAGTCAGCTGTTTTGTGGCTGTGTGATATTTCCAGTGGATCAGTTCCGACGGGATCATGACAACAATGATTCAGCCGACCAAAATAGACATAGGAATGCACCAAATGGTTCTGTTTCCGGTTGCCCGATGGTGTATTCATTAGAAAGGCACTTCTTGGAACTCTTGTACGTATAAATATCCTCAAATGGAGCTGTTAACATTTATATTTTAACAAAAATGTCTAGTTTCAAACAGCTAGTCCTGCCCCCAAACTATCACAATCGGTTGAGTCAGAAGTCAGAAGCTCAAACAACTGTAGTTATTTTTTTCCTCCAAGAGTATTGTGATATATTGTACTTGAGATAAATCCAGTCCCTGAATGGCACATTTAAATCAAAACAGACGATTCTCAATTTTTTTAAGAACATGTCACTCACATTCGCAGGAATTAGCAATTAACGACTACAATCCAATCAATTCCCAATGGTCCCAAAGTAATATTATATTTTTTTCTCATTTGAAAAGCTATTTCACTTAAATAAGGGAAGAAAATATGACCATAATCTTCCGTTGCACGCTGACTTTAACTGTGATTGTTTTCTTTTCATGTTTGTTGGTCATGCAGATTTTCCTGTCAAAGAGTTAGTTCCTGTTAAGAATAAGTTAAGCTTGCAACTTGTTACACTGACAGTCAAACGTCTGGTTATGAAAAAATTCCCAGTGAACAACCCATTTCTGCACAGCTTTTGCACACTTCCCCTTTAAAAGGGATAGTTCAAATGTCATCATTTACTCACCCTTGTGTTGTTCCAAACCTGTACAAGTTCGTTCCTTCTGTTGAACACAAAAAAGATATTTTAAATTGAACAGTTGACGGTATCAATCGACTTCCATTTAGTAGGAAAAACATATTATTGAAGTCATCAACTGTCTGGTTACTGACATTCTTTAATTAAAATATTTTCTTTTGTGTTCAACAGAAAAAAAAGAAACTAATACAGGTTTGGAACAACATGAGGGTGAGAAAATGATGACATTTTTGGGCGAACAATCCCTTAAAATTAGATTATCATTTATAATGTAACAAAAATGTACAATGCCCATTTCACATTCTCTCCTTTTGACCTGAAAACAAACCTGGTATCTCTTGGTCATCAGGGAATACAAGCCTAGAAATAGGTATAAGTAGAACCTACAGTCCCTCTTCAAGGTCACGGACACATACCTGCTTTCTCCATTCAAATGAAATCCATTGTTAATTTAGCAGCAATGCAAAGTTGAGTTGGACCAAGGGAACATGCATCTGCTCTTTCATCAAGACTGGGATTAAATATTTTTAGATTTAGGGAGGATTGTTCTCATTGGGCATCTATAATGCAAGGTATGCAGGGCACATGAGAAGGTAAAGCAGTACTATCACTTGATGCTGCAGGTTGTTTTACACCACATCGCTGCAAAACACTTCTAAGCTGTTCATGCACTGTACAGTTGTTCTTTGACAGCATCAATTATTGAGAGCAGAATAAATGCATTACATGCATGGTTGCTTTCTGTGCGCAGGGTACAGTTTTTCAGTGTTTATTGAGATCATCACACATTTCATCCTTCTATGTTGGGTTGTTGGCGTATGGATTTGGATCAGAACTGTATGATGTCTCACTATAAATAAAAGCCACACTTCAACTAAAATTTGCACAGAACACAGTGCAAGGAGTCTTCTTAAATAAAATCCATAGAAGTAATCTTGTGTTTTATGAAGACATGGACTGCAGAGAGTGAAGTTATGTATTTTTACTGGGATATTTAGAGCTGACCAGTGATGAGCCAAAAATCATAATATCTTGCATATCAGCACAGTTATTGGGTTCATATGTGAGCCAGATTTAAGTATATCAAGTGTGGCAATAAACCTGCACCCATTCTGCACAAGTTCATGTATATAGGTAATAAATAAATAATTATTAAAAGAATATATTTAAAAAGCTGGCATACATGATTTATGTTACTTATCTAATGCAAACACATAACACAGAGAGCTTAAGCAGCATCATATAATACAAAAAGTGCACCTGAAGAATTTCAGTGAGATGTTAAATATGTTAGTCATGTACATAGTGTTCCATTAACATTTGATATGCCATGCCATTATCATTTAGCAATGCATTCTCATTATGCCATTGGTTATGTTGACGTCAAAACCTTTCTTCTAACAAACCTTACTAATATTTTAAAATAATGAGCGATTCCTAATAAACTCCCATTTTAAACCATTGCAGTGCAAAGCAAATATGATGCAGAGCATCACTTATAACGCAATGCATTGAACATCATTTTTGAAAACATGGTCTTTTCCTACCTGTCATCCGGGGGAAATAATGACTGCAATCTCCATAGTTTACAGGCTGAGAGCTGTAGATATTGCAATAGTCAGCACTTGAATAAAAAGCATCTCTGTTCTTTACATTCATCGCCATCTTCCCCGCATCCTTCCAAGCTCTCTCTGCTGCTCAACTTCTTCCAGCCAGACGTGAGCCACATGCTTCAAACGTCCAACAGAGGGGTGTTTTCAATCGCGCAAGGAGGCAAAAACCCTAGAAATACGTAAACACGTTCTATACATGAGAGAGAGGGATATTTAAATGGTTTATAGATACATTGAAAGATTTTATTTCTATACATAATTCTAAGTAGGCGAAAATATTTTGGAATTTATATTAACCTCTCCCTCACCAGAGTTGGCACAGTCCATTTCCTATCGATGCGAGAATCTGATTGACGATTCAGCACGCGCAATGAGAGAGAGGATGCGCGAGCCTGTGTGACATGACAAACGAGTGTGTGAAGTACTCGAGGTAGTGTACTTCATTGCTATTATCTATTTGATTTAGGTGTATTTTGCATTTTACACGAGTAGTTTTGAAACTGAATACATGTATTTTACTCAATTGCATTTTTTGCTTCTTAAAAATTGATTTAGACGCTGAAACTATGCTGCGTAAACTACGTTGAATCATTGCATTCAGACGCAGCTAATGTCATAAAACTATAAATCATAAGTTTAATGATAATCAACAAAGTATGGGGGCATTGAGAAAATGTAGATACAATTTTAAATACTTCAGTTGGAAACTTAAGTCTACTCTTTCTTTTAATTGAGTCAATTATAATACAAATATTGATAAATACAAAATCAAACAAACTACATATTATTACAGAGCTTTACAAATACATTAGTACGTTAAAAACTAGAGAGAAGATCATTTCTAAAATAGTTACTCAATATGCAGTCTGATTCATAATTGAATATGTTCATTAATATTCATTACTATTACAATTGAACATTTATTGTTTCTGCGAATTTATAAAAGCACATTTTCGTGGTATATCTGCAGTGTTAAATGCATATATTTGCAGTGAAAATTACATCAGAAATCATATATAAGATGTCTAAGTGTCCTGACAAGATTAACAATTCACACTTCATTTCGCTTTATTGGGTGTGTTAGTTGAACATATTGCTGTCTGTCCCATACTGTGGTGGGATCATCGATTGAAAACAGAGTTCATTGGGTTTGTCATCCTCGCTCTCCCACTGTCTCTGTCCCTCTCTCCCTCTCAGCACAGCAGTCACCCTCCCTCTTACCTATCCGGCCACTTTGGAGCTTATTTATTCACAGGATCCTCCCTTATTCCATCGTGACAGCTTTTCGGACGATTTTCATCCAATCCTTCGGATATTGGACAGCATGTATTTCGTCTTTCTATGTCGGTGATGACTGATTTGTGTGAAAACATTGCTCTCGATCCGCCGCCGCCGCTGCTGTGATGATGGAGAGGCGGTGCGTGTCAGAGCAAGGCGGATAGAGGCCCAGCAAAGCCCCGCGCTGGATTTACTATCCTGTGCGAGCGACTGAACACCAACAGCAGATTACCTCACAACAACTCTTCGGTACATACCCATATTAGCTATACACACAAATGTGAGGTATGTGTTTAAACCTATATTGTTCAAATACCAACGCTAGTGGTTTTTTTAAAAAAAAAAGTCTTATGTATTGTTTCAGACTGGTAACATTTAAAACGTCGTTGGCGGGATATTACTGCATATTTTCTCAGAAAGTTATCGGGTTAGCTATAGCGGATTAGCCTAGCGGCTAGGTGGCTAAAGGAATCAATATCTTATATTTTTGTAAGGAAATTGCTTATTTGCCTTTCATAACCTTTTGCCACGCTAACTCAAAATACTTTAATTCGAGAGTATTTCAACTCTCTAACAATAATATTTGTCAATTTCTGCTTTAGTATGTTTTGTATAGGACTGCTACTTGGCTAATTATGTGAGAGATAAGAGCCTCCCAAATATATTTCCACTTTAATATTATGTCTTTTTTTTAAATGTGCTTAAATACGTTATCATTATAATATTCAGCTTGTTTACTTATTAAAACTGTTGTATTAAACAGGTTTATAGTGAAATTAGTGCATGTTTCTGCTCAGTCATGATTCAGGTTTGTTTGTTTTAACCAGCCTGTGGTTAAAACCTTATAAACATATGTATAACATTAAGTTATAGTTGGCTATAAACTTATGTCTCTATAAACAGTTTGTTTTAGCTAGTGGTTCTCTGTCTTGTGAGTCAGTCTATTCATATTCAAGTATGATAACCCGCTTAATCCTATTATCTTCCTATCTGTGTCTCTCTAAACATGGCTGTGGAAGTTTGTTGTGGTTTGTAGTACTGTTGTTTTGGGTAAACTGAGTGAGCTGGTCCACTTTCCGCTAGACACTGAATGTCTGTCCTCGTTGCTGTTGTTACAGTATAATTCAGTGGAGCCTGAAGTTATAAAGCAAGCAGATCAGATGAAGGTCTGAACAATGACGGACATTTACATTTACAAGTGGCACTAACATCAGACTGAGGTAAGCTCAAATACCACCAGCTTATGTAAATATTGGTTCATCTCTTGCTTTTTTTTTGATGGGAAGAGATGACTAGCAATAAAAAGTGTGAAAGGGTGGAGTGGTTACAACCTTGACCAAACCATGATCTCACAAAGCTCTGTGTTAAACATTTGCATGGTATTTTACATGAATTACCTGAAGAGGATGGTCAGGACAACAATTTGAACTGACGTGTTTCTCTCATGCCCTAGTTTTAAAATCCAATAATTTCCGATAACACATCACATTGTGAAAGATGCTGTTGGTCAGATTAGTGAATCGCTTTCAGCAGCCTTACACCCAGGCCAGGAGATAAATACAGTTTTCATTTTGTTGGCTTATGTTAGCAGGGAAAAACAAGTCACCCACTTAAGTAAGAAGTGCCAAATGTTTTTGGCATTATGTTGAGTGGAAATATCTCTCTCTCTCACACTGAGTGATACATTCCTGTCATTGCTCAGTGACTCACATGTTTGGTTGCTGAACTTCTGTAAGCATGTTTTTGCGTTTAGACTGATGTCAGTAATGCATTAAATGACTCTATTGGACTCATGGATTAGTACTAGTGTGTTTGTTGAGGTGGTGTGTGTCTTTTACGTATTGATAATTGTGTCTTTTACGTACAGCTCATGTTTGGGATCACTAAGATTTTTTTTTATGTTTTAAAAGAAGTCTCAAGCTCATCAAGTCTGCATTTATTTAGTTAAAATATGCAGTAGAAACTATAATATTGAGAAATATTATTACACTCTAAAATAACATTTTAAAATATATTTTACGTCAACCTTTATAATTATTTGTAACTTTGTTATTATAACTTAAGTTTATTTGAACTATTTTAATAAAATTCCTTCGTTCCTGTGTTGGCAAAGCTGATTTCTCAGCATCATTACTCCAGTCTTCCTAAAATAGAAATCTTTGTGAGATTATAAATGTATATTATGATGATCATTTAGTGCATTTTTGCTGAATAAAAGTATTAATTTCCTTAAAAATTTTTGCTGACCCCAAACTTTTGCACGGTACAGCAACATCATTTGGTAACACCTTATAATGTTTTATCACAGACTAGGTTAATGAGAAGCATCACTGTTATTACATCGATGTTTATTATGTTTGTTTGTTGTCTGTGTTCCTGTTTGTTACTAATGTCTTAAGACCCAATTTGTTTGTTCTGGGACATGCTTAATTGTTCAGATAACTAGTCTAAGGTGTAGTTTACAATACTGAATGTCTGATACTGTAGTTTACGATACTGATGTCAAACATGTCACCAAAACCCACTTTATTTCTCCTATTCCTTTTCAGGATAAAAAGTGGTTGGTGATAATTTTTTCTTCCCTATTGAAGATTGTGAGGACTACAAATCATGCCTCCAAGACCCTCGTCGGGAGAGCTATGGGGCATCCATTTGATGCCCCCCAGGATTCTGGTGGACTGTCTACTGCCCAATGGCATGATCCTGACACTAGAGTGCCTCCGGGAGGCCACCCTTATCACAATCAAACATGAACTTTTTAAGGAGGCAAGGAAGTATCCCCTCCACCACCTGCTGCAAGAGGAGACGTCCTATATTTTTGTCAGCGTAACGCAAGAGGCAGAGCGTGAGGAGTTCTACGATGAGACGAGAAGACTTTGCGACCTTCGGCTATTCCAGCCTTTCCTAAAGGTCATTGAACCTGTAGGAAACAGAGAGGAAAAAATCCTCAACAGAGAAATCGGTAAGACGTCACGCATGAGCTGACCACAAATGAATGTCAAGAGTATTCAAGTAGACCGATTGTCCAAAATCCCTGTTTCTGAATAACGTACAGTACCATTCAAAAGTTTATCAGGAAGATTTTTATTTATTTATTTCAAAAGAATGACTTCTTTTATTCAGCAAGGATACATCAAATTGATCAAAAGTGACAGTAAAGGCATTTATAACGTTACAAAAGATTTCTATAATCAAAGAATCCTGCAAAAAACGGTCTCAACAAAATTTTTTGTTCTAAGACAGTGTTTTTTTTTATGTTTCAGGTTTTGCCATCGGCATGCCAGTGTGTGAGTTCGATCTAGTGAAGGATCCGGAGGTACAGGACTTCAGGAGAAATATACTAAATGTTTGCAAAGACTCAGTAGAGCTGCGGGATGCCAATGGGCCACACAGTCGAGCACTATACGTTTATCCTCCTAATGTGGAGTCTTCACCAGAGCTTCCAAAGCATATATATGGCAAATTAGACAAAGGTAGGCTTGTTATTTTTACAGGAATATTCTGTGTTATTTTCACTTTTATGGACATTTTCTTCAGGAGATAAAGGAGTCTTTCTTGAGTTATCTACTTAAAGGAGTAGTTCACTTTCAAATAAAAATTTCCTGATAATTTACTCACCCCCATATCATCCAAGATGTCCATGTCTTTTTTTTTCTTCAGTCGAAAAGAAACTAAGGTTTTTAAGGGAAAACATTTTTTTTTTTTTTTAAGAAAATGACAGATTGTTTTACTAGATAAGACCCTTATTTATCACCTGGGATCCTGTCGTGCCTCTAAAGCGGCATTGAGACTGACAATGACAAGCTTAAAACCATTGGTTGCCATTGA